CCCATTCATCCCGAAATGCCAGCAATCGGACTACTCGGTTGGGTGTCTCATCGATGGTCAGCTTGTGTACTGGCTCATTGCGAGATACAACGCTGGCTCCTATTTGCAACAACCTGGCAGCTGCCAGAATAGGTTCGGATGTTCGGGTGCAACGTCCTGGGAATCGAATGATCTCTCCCATGTGCTGGATGCTCGGCGCGGCATGGTCTAGGATGAGCAGTGCAAGACCATGTTTGGATACCGGCTGTTTCATCTTGAGAAAAGGGGCGGCTGTTACACTATCAGTGACTACAACCCCCTGGGCATCTGGACCAATCTGGTGTAAAGTCAACTGCTGCAGTGGTATGTTGGGCTCCTGACGGAAGATGCCATCAGGTATGCTCACATCATCAGGTTGCAATCTGACCTGCGGTTTGGGGGCAGGTTTCTTTTTGCGACCCTGACCCACAGGTTTGCCAGTTTCAGCTCGGGCTCGGATGGCATCTTGCAATTCGGACGGGTGGACCAATTGCACCTTCGGATGTTGTGAATTGGCTTTGGCCTTGAGTTCTCTCCAGGGTTGAGGGGCTCGCATGACTTGGCTGATGGCTTGTCTGCCAAGTTTCAGGAAAATCTCTTGGGCTCGATCTATTGCTGCATCATTGGGGACCCCATGGGATCTGAGCAAATCTGCGAGGCTGTGTTCCAGAGTTTCCCCTGCTTTGGCCCCGCCCAGGGCGAATTTGGCTTTCTGAATGGTCGCATAGGCTTGACCTGTAACCAGCAGGTGATGTTGGAAATGGTCACGCCAAATCGATGCTTGGCTTGCTGTGATGGCTTGGCATTCACTGGTTGTACAGTCATGGTTGCTAATCCATATGGCTGTTTGGAAGCCACAATCCCCTTGGAACTCATACGGGACCTCCCGAATCTGGATTTTGGGGCCAAGTGCAGTCCAGGCCGGTGCATGATCATGGTAATTCAAATCGTCGGAATACAAATGAAGGATATCGGCCAAAATTTCCCCTCCATCCATACTACTTTGAATGATGAGTTGACCCTCATGTTGCCGAACCAGAAAGGGAATCCAGTGATGTCCAATCAGGCAGGCAGAAGCGGCAGGCTCAGTTCCTTCAGAGATGTGAGCCCTCAACTGTTCCACCCATTTTCCAACTCCCGTCAAGGCCTGGTTGTAGCCATGGTCAGCTGGCAGCTGAAGGGCTGGCAACAGGGTACATTTGGCAATGTGCTGAAATTGGGAAAGATAAAAATTCATTTCATCTACCGCCGCCCAAGATTGTTGGTGAATCAACAGCTCAAATCTACTCTGCAGGTTCTGGCCATGGAGATTCGGGTGTCGTCCTGCCTGGGTTGCAATTGGGCAGGGTGTCACCGGTGTGGTCTCATGAAAATGGATCTGTTGAAAAGGTTCAATCTGGGCTTGCAAATTCAGCTGATGTCCCATGTTGTTGGTCGCAATGGCTTTGGGTCCAATGTGTCCCATAGCCTGTTCAGCAAGGAGCAAACTCTGAACAGTGGCGGGTTTGCGGATCTTCTGCAAGATGGGTTCTTGGCTAAATGGGAAAACCAAACGCACAACCCCAAGGTCATCATGCTCTTGCTTGGCCACCTCACTTGGTGGAGGTGTCGCTACTCGAATTGGAGATACTGGTTTGCTTGGCTCAACGTCGATCTCATCTGGCTGATTGGCCTCTCTGGTCTCACATGGGTGGGGGGAGGGGCCAAAAGGGACGAAGGCCTCAGTTGGCTTGGCATGCAAATCTATAGGAAGGGGGAGTTCTTGCGTCTCCATCGCCTCATGTTGTCCAGGTTCTTGCGCCCTGCTCGCTGGCTGTTTTGTCGTCTTCTCAGGTTCTGGGGTCCTGGGCCCTGGCTGTTTTGTGGTCTTCTCAGGTTCTGGGGTCCTGGTCCCTGGCTGTTTGTGGTGTTCTTCCAGTTTTTGCGCCTGGCCCGCTGGCTGTTTTTCGCCCTGAAGGTCTTCATTTTTGGGGTTTTTCCGTCCCCTCCGGTGGCTAGTTGTGGATCTCTTGTTTGATTCCAACTCCTCAGACCCGTGGTGAAGGGTCGCTTTGGTGAGCATCGAATGCATGGGCGGATGACAATGCTGTGGAATTCGTCCTACCACTTTTTGCCAAGGATGCCTGGACATGTAATGCAGTGCCATGAGAAAAGGTCCTACCGGAGGAAAGTTCAGAGATCGGCTGCAGGTGACGCAAAATCCCAAGACATGTTGGTGGTGAATGTCCCTCTCCTACAGGAACCTCCCCAGGCTGAATGGAATCGGATGCTGCGGGTGTTGGGCTCTTTGGCCCGTCCTCGGATGCGTGGCCACCAAATGTGGCTACTCGTGCAGTCGTTTGATTGGCATTGGTTTCGGCCGCAGTGCTAGCAGTGGCCTCGCTGGGTTGGATGGCTGCTGGGTCCATTTCGATCGCTGATGGAGTCTTGGCGCAATGCTGGACTGATGGTACCTCAGTGTGTTCTGCAACCTCAGGATCATCAACGGGTGTTGACTTGCAAATGGAAGCATCCGGTCGGCTTTCATCTGCTTTGACATCCCTTACCCTAGCAAGTAAATCTGCTGACTTGGTTTGTGGGGTGACTTGAAAACCAGGGATACCCCCAAATGATTGCCAATTCTCCATGTCCCTTGGGGAGTGAGAAGGCATGGAATGTGGGGTATCTAATGATTCAAACCGTGCCCAATCTTCGGCTGTGGCTGGTTCAGTCTGCATAGGCGGCAGGGTCGGCTGTTGGATCTGGCCACTACTCCCTGCCTGGAAGTGTGCAAACCTGGTCAACATGTTTCCCCTGGGTGGAAGTGGAAATGACTCAGTTGACAGACCCTGCCTTGGTGATGTGTCTCCATGCTTAGGAGTTGTCACTTCGTCCAACTGGTCAAATGAATCCTTCAGGGTTGGTGCAACACTTTCGGTGTCGGGCATCAATCGTGGGACTGTCCTACTACCGGATGCAACGGCCAAACAGCCATGAATCATCTTACATGCGGCTTGCACTCGTGGCACAGTCTGGGTGCCTGGAAACATTGCGTCTCTGGCTGCAAACAGATGGGTCATCATGTTCCAGAGCACCTGTTCTGGAGTGGGTATGTCCATCATATCTGATAGATCCGCATTGGCAAAACGCAATTGAGACATGATCCAGCCTGATTGGAGGGGACTTGCCATCTGTCCAAGGCCCGCCAGTGCAAGCTTGAGGTGAGGCATCCAGAGCTTGTTTGGGTTCAACCCTTGCAGTAAGCTAAGTTCCCATGGGTGAATATGACGCATTCTGGGTACTTCTTGATTACCAGCGGTTGTGGTCCCCCCAAGGTGAATCAGAGCCCCATGAAGACCCTTTGCCTGCAATCTGGCTAAATTCATTGGGTATTGTCGGCATCCACAAGGACATGGATCAAGTTGGTTTCCCCATCCATGCAAGTAAGTGCGCAACTGTGCATCCAAATTGATGAGGTTGGGTTGAATCCCCCCACATTCTTCAAACTTGTGATACTCATAAACCCCAATCTCCAGTTGTCTGGTATGGTCTTCGGGCCATTGAGGAAAAGCCGGTAAGATGTCCCCAATTTTGACAATCTCAGAAAGTGTTGGGAATGGTTCCAATTGAGGGGGTGTCGAACCTGGAAATGTGAGCAAACACCACCAACGTCGCCTGTGTGCGCACCAAATCTGATTCAAATCCAGAGTGACTTCTCGTGCATTGAACTTCGTAATGGAGCACCATTGTTTCAGTTGTTGGAGTACTTTCTTATCTTCCCTTGCTCCGGTGACGCACTCTAACAAAACTGTATGGCAACGCAGAAAGTAGGCTGCCCTGAGGATGGATCTCAGGGTGCCTGCTCGTGCATCACATGATCCTCGACGGTCCCCCAGCTTACTCCATGGTTGACATGGAAATCCGGCAGCAAGAGCTGTCGGTGCTGCATGACATTCATGGATCTGCATCAAAACTTCATGAGAACCAATATCCCCTGTGACTGTTGTGGGAAAACCCTGATGATTCATGAACTGCGTGAACTTCTCTCGAATATCATTGGCTACTTTGATTTGAAAACCGTTGGCTTCCATGCCTTCCCCTAAGGCTCTGATCCCAGCGCAAACTTCGATGCCATGTCTCAAAGTGTCAGTTGAAGGAATGACATGTTCCATCACGTGTGCAACATCTTTGATGTGAAACCCTGATTTGCCATGTGAAACGGTACCTCCCAACATTGTCAATGAAACTGTGCCTTGATTGATAACACATTGGGCAGTCACGAATGTCCGGTGAGCAGCTGAAAGAAGGAGATGCTTCTGATCTAAAGGATCCCGAATGATGACCTCAGCCAAGAAGTCCACCACGTCACCTTCCCTGCATTTGCTCCAGGTTGGCTCGAGACCCAAGTCAGACTCCATTGCACTACCCTAGTTACACAACCCTCCCAACCATTGGCTAGCGCCGTTCCACCAGCTGGCAGGTGTTGGGCCGAGAACTCTCTGTCAATCCATTAGACTGGTTGGTCAATAAGGATTCCCCTATTGGATTGTCAAAATCCCCAGTATATATATATATTGGGTAGTATAAATAATCAATCCCCTTAGAATCATTAACCAACAGGGTTTTGAGCACCGCTCAAATGGAATCAGCATTTTTTTTTGCGCTGCTATTGCAGCTTGTGACCAAATCCAGAATGAACAGCTAAAAGAAATCACCAGACAAAGGTTGAATCATTCCCGTTACCATGTACCAGTTTTCCCCATGGCATATCTGCATCAAACAAGATTGGAGAAAAGGTGCTGCGGATTGCTGGAGGGAAACTCAACAAGGGGGCCTGTCTCAAAATTGGGGCACCCCAAAACTCTTGGCTTCCCATTGAACAACATGTTTTGAATTGACCAATCGTGGGGGGCCCACTAGAACAAGTGCAGCATACTTTGCGGTAAACGGTAAAGCCTTCGTTCTTTGGCGAAACCCAACTCATCCGTTGATCTCCCAGCTGCCTGACGCTCCAACAGTGGTGCAGCAGGCACTTCGCTGGCGGAACCATCAGCGGAGGCGGAGGCTGCTGCGCCAGACGCTTCGGCCGCCTCGATGGGGTGTTTTTTTCGATGGGATGGTGAGCCGAGCCCAGCGGCAAGCTGGACAGCGCGTCAGAAAAGGTGACAAGGGGAACAGAAGCAACAAGGACGACAACAAAAACAAGAACAAGAACAAGAACAACAGCAACAGCAACAGCAACAACAACAACAAGAACAACAACAACAGCAACAGCAACAACAACAACAACAACAGCAACAACAACAACAACAACAATAACAACAACAAGAAGAATAAGTACAGTACAAGTGGTACATGATTCACTTGTGGGAACTGGTTGCATTTTTGGTCTAGCGGGTGAACCCTCTTAAAAATGGGTGCCGCCTCACGTGCGCCGACTCAAAAGATCTCGTGCACCGACGTTCAACTTGGGACCAGGGCATCGGGATACCCAGACAAATCACAGCACAGGCCATGGCACGCATGTAGGACCAAAAACACAACACCGAACGAAAACGAAAACTTGACCTAAACTAGGACTGATCACGGCTCAACAATATTTTTGAGTGACAACAAACACCTTTGCGGCACCAGCTTAGCCACTGCATGTTCAGAAGGGCCTTGTAGACGCAGAACCCTCGCACCCAAGACTTTTTTGAACAAGACCAGCACCAGAAACTAACATTTTTACGCGAACCAAAGTACACCTAGCAGCACCAACCGCTGCCTGCTCCGCACGGCCTATCTAATTGATCACTGCAACAAAACCGACATCGCTGCCCCGTTGAATCAGCATGATAGCGATTATTTTTTGATATGTTTTGCTTGAAGGATGGTTCTATTTGCTTGAAGGATGGTTCTAAAAAGTTCTGTCAAAATACTCAGGGAAACTCGTTGCACAGAAAACTTGGTTGAATCCATGCATGGCGTTCGCTTCCATTCTTTTGACCCGCAACACCTACAGCTGAGAAACATAAAGACAAAGAAAAGTAGACAAACTGCAAAAGAACACCGCATACTTATAGAATTCCGGGCGCCAACTGTGGACTCTTGAGGTACTGTTGCTTTTCGAAGGTTTCATGCACACCCGTGTGGGTGATGTTGTGCAAAATTGGTGGACAGGCACCCCGACGATTCATTTTGTGCAGCAAAATTCACCACCAATTTGGTGGGACCAAAACATTGTCAAATATAAGGCCGTATGATTATATATGACTAAATATAATGATATATGAGGTACACACACACATATATATATATATGCATATATATATATATATGCATATATATATATATATTATATTATATTATACCAGTAGTACCGCACAAGGCGGTGGCGGAAGTTTCAAAAATAGGAAACCTATAGGAGAAGCGTGTTGCTGAGGCGCAAAAATGGAAGAGCGAACCCACTGATGGATTGAAAGGTGGTTGTGTGTTTCTGCCTTTTTGTCTGCTGTTGCTAGGACAAAGCAAGCTGCCGCGACACCGTGAGGCAGACACGTTGGAGGGATGGGCCGGGTAACATTTCTTCATGTTTTTCTGTACTTCTGACGGCATGATGGCGCATGCCAGCACAGCGGCAGCCGACGATTCCTGTCCGCTGTTGCTAGGACCAAGCTGCCGCGACACCGCGAGGCAGACACGTCGGAGGGATGGGTAACATTTCTTGTTGTTGTTGTTGTTGTTGTTGCTGTTGTCGTCGAAGTTAGGGTAGTTAAGTTAGTGAAGTTAGTCAAGTTAGTTAAGTTAATCAGTGTCTACTTTTTCGACATCTTCACGTCAAAAAAGGCTCAAAAGCCTCAGTTTTTTACACTTTTGACTTCGAAATGTGCTTCGCGCCACAACGCCGTGCACTTTTTCGACACTTTTTCGACATCTGAACCTCCAAAAGTGGTCCGAGAATGGTGTGTTTTGTACATTTTGACTTCAAAATGTGCTTCGCGCCACAACGGCGTGCACTTTTTCGACATCTCAACTTCCAAAAGTCGTCCGACACTGAGGTGTTTTGTACATTTTCACTTCAAACTGTGCTTCTCGCCACAACGACGTGCACTTTTTCGACATCTCAACTTCCAAAAGTGCTCCGAGAATGGTGTGTTTTATACATTTTCACTTTGAAATGTACTTCGCGCCACAACGGCGTGCACTTTTTCGACATCGCAACTTCCAAAAGTGGTCCGCTCTCTTCTTATCGTTTCTCTTCTCTCTGCCTCTTCCCTGCTCTGCGTTTCAACTGTCCATATTGTCGGAAGTTTAGCTTCTAAACTTCCTTCGATTATGATATATTATGATTGCACGACCACCCATGCAAGTGGAATGCAAGGAGTCGGCACTTATGGGGAAACCAACCGTGGTCAGCTCTCAGATCCAGCTACGCCGAAACAGGCGTTAAACATTGGTTTGGCGTTGTGATTTGGCGTGGGACCCGAACTCGAAAATAACCAAAGAAACGATTTTTCAATATTTTTCATTGCGTCATTTTCTTGAAAGGTTTGAAGGACAAACATGCCATGTCTTACAATGTCTTGCAAGAATTCAAATCGAGAAACGCGCTGTTAAAAAGCAGCGTTTGATGCCCAAAGCATCGCAAATCCAGTTTGTTTTTGCAAGCAAATCGCTAAACACTGTAGCCTGCAGATTGTTTGCCAAAAATGCTGAACATGTCCAGCAGCATAGTTAATTTGTCTGGGGTTCTTCTTAAGGTGCAACGTGAGGTATTTCCAATATTTTCCATCTAATTCAACTGTTCAAAAGCAGTGTAGATGTAGATAGCACCTGATGCAGGGCCTTCCTCCATATGGCATCGCCATCATGGTTGTTATCGTCATCGTAGAGTAGTATTTGCACTGATGCAACAATAATAGCATTCAGCATAGTTAAGAGTAACTAACAACCGCAAGAAATACAAACGCAATATATATATATATTTATAATCACCACCACCGTCACTGACTCACAAAAGGCCCTGCCACCTGCCCCAAACAGCATCTGCACACCTTCTTGATGGCATCCTTTTCATCTGGTGTAGCTTTGGGATCCAAACTTGCCACCCACTTCACATCCTTCCTCAAGCGTTCCCATGCCACGGCTATAGGATGTAATGGGGGCTCCTAAGATGGCACCAAGATACTTTTTCTAGGTCCAAACTTGGGCGACGCTGGCCTAACTTGGTATATGTACTCCGCATGTTGGAGTAGCCTTTGGACTAGCCACTCACGGCTTTAAACCCGGCACTCACTGTGAACCAATTGAAACTTCGGAGTTAAACCTGGGAGATAAACTTGAACGGAATAAAGCCAACGCCAGTTGGCAGCACCGGGTCATCATGTTTTTAAAACGAATGGTGCCTGCCAGGTGTACATCAGAATTTGCTTGGCCTTTCATGGTACTTGCCACCTATTGATCAGTGGGGCCACCTGTGGAAGCATCTCGAAGTCAAAAGTGTGCCGTGGTCAACTGACAAGGCAACCCTTGCTGGTACCTTCCGGCCCCTGTACACCAGAAAACAACGAACAAATGGGTTCTGAAGGTTGGTTTGTGATTTGAACTTGCAATTGTGGGGTTTCATGCCGCAATTTCTTGAATGCTAGCATCATCTTTCGAGCACCCCCAAAAACGACAACCCCGCACGGACCATCGGATCTCCTTGCAAGGAATCGCTTGGCCATGCCGACCAAGGTAGGCGTAGCACCTGCGCAAGGGTTGCTAAAGTGACGCTGCCAGAGAATGAAATGTCTTCACACGTACTGTTTGGCAGTTGTGTCATGTCACACACTCCAACTCTGCTCCAAAATTTCGGGCTTTCTCGTAAAAACAACTTGCCTGGTTTCTGGGCTACCTAAGAATTTGAACCTGGGGCCACGTTACGCAGATTCTGTGGTCACTGGCCACAATCGATTTTCTTACTAACTACTATTTCAACTCATCAGTATATAATTAACAGTTTCCGCAACCTGGCAAGCTGGCGGAGTTATGTCACATGTTTCATGCCTGTTAAAACACACGTGGAACCCCTCAAGGCTTGCAAGAGGAGAAGATAATTATCCTACTGGAAAACGGTCACAAAAAATGTTGTTCGTGGGCGTAGTCCGTATTCCCAAATCTTTGGGAATGTTCCTAATCTTTCTCGGGACCAATGGGTGAAATCAGCAATTTGTCGCTGCTGAATTTCCATCTCTGCAAGTCCCCAAGGTTCCTGGCCTATCTCCAGGAAGACCTCGGGGGACCTGGCGTTTTCCAAAGCCTCCATGCCCGCAGTGAAGCGCACAGCGTTGGAAACGTGGTCCACCCAGTAGTCCACCTGCTCGGGAAGGGATGCCTTGTCCTGGTGATGGATAAAGATGGGGGTGGATTCCAAACTCGCCCAAATTTTTTAAATAATTTTCTGGGTGATTTATGTGCTGAATGCACTTGCCCAGCTTCAATCAATGTACAACGCTATCTGCCTCATTGCATGGATTCACCATCTTGGCAGCTGAATTTGAGGGGGAAGCTGTTCACCCATTGGAACTCATGGCCTTCATTTAGCACCACCTAAAGCCACTGAACCCCTGAAAGCCACTTGGTTCACTGGTCCAGTCCTCATCGTTGGTTGGTTCTATCCTCTGTTGATAGATCTACAAGGTCAGGCACCCAAACAATAGCCAGGTTGATTTACAACTTGGGTAAAATTGGGGTTATGGCATAGAAACTTATGTTATTCATGGATATTCATGGGGCGGGTTTATAAACCAAGGTTCACATATTTCACATCACTGGGGGCGAGGCTTCGGCCGCCACGCCTTGGCCAGATCCTCGGAAGTCGCCTCACGGCCAAGCAGAGTCGAGAAGAAGGGCACCTTCAAGGCACTCATCGACACCTGCCACTGGAGGTTTTTTTGGGGCCAACGGAGTCAACCAACCATTCCTGGGTACCAGCCGAATTTGGAGCTGGACCCGGACCCCAAAAAAATCACGTATCAATGGTTTCAAAACGTGGGCTTGTCATGGTTTGTCTGAGAATATAACCCCCAGATCCACTGGTTAATAATCATTTTCCCTATCAGAATTGCCATGATTGAGGGGTAAACCTCAAATGAGTTTTCCACCGGCTTCTCCCCTTTCGCATCATCGCCTTATCGACCTCTGACCTGAAATCCTTCAGCATGGGCTGCATCAACGGTGAGTGGAAGGCATGCGACACCGTCAGCGGTCGGCTGGTGACACCCGAGGTTTCAGCCACCTGGCACCATGCCCAGCGTTGTTTGGGGTTCTTTCATGCGACTTCAAGAATCATTCGGGTGGATGAAGATGTAACCAACCAACAGTGGATACTGTATACTGTGTAATATGTATATAAATACACACACTTATATATATATATACAAATATGCATATACATAATCATATATATATATATATAATATATATATTATACATAGTACTACATAGTACATAGTACATATATATATATATACATATGCAACTCTTCAAGAAAACACATGGGTGATTTGTGTTTGTGGTGGATAACACCAAGCAATCATTGGCCGCCAGAAAAAGGAATGGGGTATATTGTTCAGCACAACATGATTGAAAGATGTAAGCTATACACTCCAGCAAATGATCTTTTTCAATCTTTTCCTGCCCGACGGATAATTAAGCACCTTGGCATGCTCTCAAATGATACCAACGACCCATGAACTGAACCCTTGGTAAAGCAAACCTGCTCCCATGTGGTTTCTCTGCCTTGTCCACCACCTCCTTGCGGCCGCTGATGACCGTCATCTTTGGACCATTCACAGCAGCCACGGAGATATCAGAGGCCTTCACCTTTGCCTTTTCCATCGCTTTCTTCACCTCCTGCAGGAAGAGGGAAATTTAGCAGCTGCAGCTGTGGAAGAAGGTTTGGGCGCTTGATGTGGGGGGCAGGTCATCCAAGGTGAAGGCTGAATCCCAGCCTGCTCGGGAGCGAAGAGGGCTGCCATGGTGCCCACCTGGCACAGTTGGCGAGATGGAGAGGAAACTTTGGTATAGACTGAAGGCTTTACATCTTTTCCCGATCATCGGATATCCTGCGGCTGATGAGTTTTGGCAACGGTTTTGGCAAAACTTCGGGATACAGCGATCAATTCCGAAACTGCTGGGTGTAGGTCCATCTCAACTATCACACAATTTTCGCGAAAACACAAGAGCCTTTGAATAGCCGATCTGCATTGACCACCCGTGCGGTAACCACCAGCTGTGTCTGTTGGGACGGAACCATCACTGGGCGCCTCCGCTTCGCACTTCTCGGCAATGAGACGTCCGCGCTGTGCGATCAAATGCACGGCATCTTTCAAGGTGAGGACCTGGGTCATCATCCGACCAAAATTGTCACAATGGGGATACCATGGGAATATAGCGACGAAATAATCAACAATGTTAGACTTGGCTTTTCAACGTTATAATGAGGAAAGTGAAAACTAATTCTGTTGGATCTTCAGGTTCTTTGAAAGGGATGAACCCCAGCATTATCAAGTTACTGACCAAGTCCATGTTTCAAAGCGGAAAACGGGCACCCTAATTTTAAGAAATGCCCATGTGTGTGGTTTCCTACAACCAATCAACACGAATTGTGAGTATGGTTGTGGGCACTTACGCCAATATCTCTCTTGTACTGAATATTCTATGATAAGTACATGGAAATCAAAGACGCATGTTAGCAGTATCTGCAAACAGGCATCGCTTTCAATGCATGAGATTCAGCAACGACGGCCCTACCAGTATGGTGGACGAAACGTATGCTGCTACCACAGCTGATTAATGTGATCCTCCGCCATGGAACTCACGGCTGGTTGGTGATGATGAATCACCGCCGCCAATCTCCATAACACCAAGTCACTCCAGCCACAACGGCAGCAGCGTACTCACCCACACTGTGTCCCAACACCTCACAGGGGAAGCGCGTTGTCCTGTGCTCGAACATGCTCGAACCATTGCTGCACACTACGCCAAGGTTTGAGAGTCGCATCGTGTGAATACTTGGCTCAGAAGAAAAGAAATCAAGCATACAGCATACAGAATACGAGGACTTGCCGGCAGTGATCATGTGTCAGCCGTCCAACAGTCAAACATTGCAGTTTCAGAGTCTGAAGTCTAAAAAGGAAGGAAAATAAAACCTTCTACACTTCTCTAGCTAACGACCCCTTGCTGGAGCTTGGTCCACACCAAAGGTCACCCATTTTGGGTGCCATCCCATCACTTTCAGATTCATGCCACTGCTTTGGCCAGGAGACTGCGCAGGGCTCCAATCCACGGGAACGCCAAAGCTCCGCCAAGGCATACTCAATGGTAAAGATGGCCGGCTGCGAGTACTGTGTCCTTGCAAGCAGGCATCCATGTAGGCCCAAGTCAACAAGGTACAACACGTGAGTGTGGGGCTAAATTGCGTATAAAATGGCAATCAATTTAAATTATCTACGTTGCCAGAATCAGTGAATTCAAGGCGTGAATAATTCGACCTGAACCTGCCGGATGATCTCACCGTGTCATCCTGAACGCAAGACAATCTCTGGGGTCGCCGTTGATATTGGGCTTGGCGGTTCTCTGGGCCGGACATGCTCATGATTTTGCAAAAGATAACCCCGCGTATTTCTCAAACTTGTGGGCGGCATAAAGTGATGGAATTGCCCATTTCAAGTCAAGAGCTGCTGGATCTTTGTTTTTTGTTTGGCGTCTTAAACATTTGGGACTCAATCCAAAACAACCATTTCCACTTACAAGGCCACTGGCCCAATTAATATGATCCGGCCATTTTCCAGTCGTGACATTCTTCACGTTCAACGAGAGCCTAGATGAGAAACTTTCAAACCACGGACAAATGTCAATGGGCAACTTGCAGCTCAACAACTCAAGCATCAATGATCATCAGTGTAATTATATATCAGTGATCATCAGGAAACTGCTGATAGCTGCACACAGGATAATGCCAAATATGCTGCGGCCCGCGGAATCGATGCGCGGAATAAATTGCTCAGAGCAGCCGACCAAAGAGTTGGCTCAGGGTAGTTCAGACTTGGCCCAGCGAAAGCCCAGAGAAGAGTACAAGCTCGAAGAAGTGGCCAAGAGAAGAAGTGCTCAGAGAAGATGTAACTCAGTGAAGACTTGGCTGAGAGAATGCATCTCAGAAAAGAAACTGGCTGAGAGTAGAGGCAGCCCAGAGAAGAGGTAGCGCATAGAATCAGAGAAGACGTAGCGTACTGAAGAAAAGGCAAGAACAAGAAGAAGAAGAAGAAGAAGAAAAAGAAGAAGAAGAAGAAGAAGAAGAAAAAGAAGAAGAAGAAGAAGAAGAAGAAAAAGAAGAAGAAGAAGAAGAAGAAAAAAAGAAGAAGAAGAAGAAGAAGAAAAAGAAGAAGAAGAAGAAGAAGAGGAAGAAGAAGAGGAAGAGGAAGAGGAAGAGGAAGAGGAGGGAAGAAGAGGAAGGAGAAGAAAAAACCAGAGAAGAGGGAGACAGCTCAGACAATAGATGGCGCAGAGAGAAGTAGCAGCCCAGAGTAGAGCTAGCTCAGAGAAGAGTCGGCCGAGAGAAAAAGTACCTTCAAAAAGGGGTGCACAGTGAAGAGTTGTTGGAAGGAAAATTTGGCTCAGAGAAGACGTGGCCCAGAGAAGGGTTGCTTCACAGAAGTAACTCAGAGAACAGGAAGCTCAGGGCAGACCTGGATGCGAGAAAAGGCAGCCCAGAGTAGAGGCGGCTCAGAAAAGAGTTGGCCCAGAGAAAAAATGTCTGCAAAAACAGGGAGCGCAGACAAGAGTTGCTTCAGGGAAGATTTGGCTCGGAGAATCAGAGAAGAGACGGCTGAGAGAAGAAGTAGTTCAGGGAAGAAAACTGCTCAACTCAGTCCGTCTTTGAGTCGTGAGTCATGCACTCTTGTATCTTTTTTGTTGCGAATTCAACCGTTTAATATCATTTAATCATTCAGTCTGTCATTCCTTGAGTGATTCAATCAATCAAACACGGATGTCGGGCAGCAACCCTTTAGGTCCTTCATGGCCCTTCATGGCCCTGCATTTTCTATAACCACTGAATATGATCAGCCTAGCCGGGTACTACTGGTGTTACAGGCTCATGAAATATCATGATCATGTGCCAGTTGGGGCCTTATCACGCACTTGTAACACCTCATATGAAGTGGCGATGGCCAATGATGTAACCTCTTTTTACTCGCATGATATGTATATATATATACACATAATATATATATAAACAAATAAATCGATAAATCAATAAATAAATATAAATATAAAAATAATTACTTTACTTCGCGTGATCCCCACCATGACATTTATAGATTTTCTTACTGGCAAATCTTCTGGCATTCTATCTGACATATCTTCTGGCATTCTATCTGGCATTCTATCTGGCATTCTATCTGGCATATCTTCTGGCATTCTATCTGGCAAATCTTCTGGCATTCTATCTGGCATTCTATCTGGCATATCTTCTGGCATATTATCTGGCAAATCTTCTGGGATTCTATCTGGCATATCTTGTGGCAGTCTATCTGGTATATCTTCTGACATTCTATCTGGCATATCTTCTGGCATTCTATTTGGCGTATCTCATGGCATTTTATCTGGCATATCTTCTGGCATTCTATCTGGCATATCTTCTGGCATTCTATCTGCCCGTTGAGGTCCAGCAGTGCACACTGAGCTGGGAAGGCCCCCAGTTGAGGTCCAGCGGTGCACACTGAGCTGGGCAGATCCCAGGTTGAGGTCCAGCGGTGCACACTGGGCTGGGCAGGTCCCAGGTTGAGGTCCAGCGGTGCACACTGAGCTGAGACGGTCCCTGGTTGAGGTCCAGCGGTGCACACTGAGCTGGCAAGGTCCCAGGTTGAGGTCCAGCGGTGCACACTGAGCTGGGAAGGTCCCAGGTTGAGGTCCAGCGGTGCACACTGAGCTGGGCAGGTCCCAGGTTGAGGTCCCGGTGCACACTGAGCTGGGAAGTTGGCAAAGAGCTTGGCGAAGAGAGTTGGCAAAGAGCTTGGCGAAGAGTTGGCAAGGCGGAAGTGGAGGTGGAAGTTGATGCAGACATGGTCGAGGAGAAACTAGAGGAGGAGGAGGAGGACGAGGAGGAGGAGGACAGCTAGCCGAGGAGGAGGAGGAGGAGGAGAACAACTCTGATAAAATCTAACAACCCTCACCTGGCAGGTGGGGAAATATAAATATAAATATAAAAATTAATATAAATATAAATATATCTATACTATACTATACGAATATATATTCTTTGGATATGCTACCCCCAGTCCTGATCGAAAAAAATCCCAAATCTACATTCGGCAGCGCTGTGGCGCCGGACTGATTCAACAGGCCATCATCGCCGTCTGAGTGCATCACCTGGAACTAACAGCTGGATGTATCAATCTACCAGGAAAGAGGAGAACACCCACATTTTTCCTGGTGAACCCAAAGTTTCTTGCTTATCTTTCCTGGCGCTTGACCAAGTTCTGCAAGATGCAGGTTCCAAGCCAGTGTGGATGATGTGACCTATGACTAACGATGTGTCATGGAGCCCCACGCAGCATCCTTCGACCAACTGAAGCTTTGGTAGTCAGTCACTGCTCAAGACAGCAAAAATGGGTTATAAGACTTCAATAACTTGGACTTACAATATATATATATATACACAGTATATATGTATATACATACACATGTTATCTATAATTAATGGGGTTTATAAACCAACAAAGCTGGAGGATGCTGAGGGGCTCGTTTGGGCCCCATTTTCAGAATCCCGATGGAGTTCCCATAACCGATGGCGACATGGTCTCGCATTTCTAGCCTGCCTTGAAAGTGTTTGAATCTCACCGTTGCTGATTACTAGTTGCTTATTTTCATAGTATCTATGCATATCTTGGCCAACTATTTTTCTTAAAAGCATATTTCGATCTACTATACATGGCCAATCTTCAATGATCGAAACGTGCTTTCTTACATAGTTCACAACCCAGTTGACGACTTGCCATCAACCCACCGCACCCGCAGCTGGTGGTGGATCACCGCACCCGCAGCCGAGTCAATAGGGTACCCCCCCGAAATCTGCTGGTCAGTACCCTCTGGTAAACCAACAGTTTGCTATTGAAAATGGCCATAGAAATAGTGGATTTACCCATAAAAAATGGTGATTTTCCATAGCTATGTTAGTTTACCAAAGTGTATCTGTCCTCGTAAATTGACATGTTTGTTTTTTTTGGGGCAATAGCCTCCTTTTCAGACACACCCATACCGAAACACGATCGAATCGGGGTCGGCGGCGGGCGGTAGCCCAAACAATCACGACCATCTTGGAAGCAGAAAGACCAGGCTCGTCAAACACTCATTTCCAGAAGTAACCATTCGACCTCCCAATAATATCCGCACCTTAGTGGCAAAAAACCCAATCATATCCCCACTGTAGTGCTTAACAATTGTTAAAATCCCAATTATATCATACTTGTATCATCTTGTATCCTCATTTTCCATGTTGGTCCCCCATCATTGGACACACCCGACTGTTCCTAATCCTGTTGAGTTCACGACCTCCAGCAGTGGTTTCGGCAGCTCATTGTCCAGGAGCTCGGCGCATTGGTCCACGGCAGCGCGGAAGACGGGCTCGCTGCGGTAGAGTTCTTTCCCCATGTTGGCATACCTTGCATGGCGAATCTGAGAGAAATCTAATGCTCAATTCATGCTAAACCTGCTAAAGTACCAGGGAAAATCTGGATAGAAATGGGGATAGTGGAATATAACCAACGAAACAGGTAATTTAACACTTTGCGAACTGGAACATCACCATCTTTAAGAAGTAAATCATCTATAAATGGGCCATCTTCGACAGGTATGTTGGATTACCAGGGTAGTTTTTGTATTCAGTTTCCAAAAATTCCAAGGAAGATGTTAATTAGTAGTGAGTACCTTGACAATGTTTTATTTCCTCTGAAGCACGGGCTTGAAAAAAGTGTCAGTTGGCAGCACTAAATCATGTCAAACAAATGGGTGTCCCAAATTTACTGATTTTTTTTTATCCCCGACTAATTAATCCATTCCCTTAAACATTAAACCCCCAAACGAATAAAACGAAACCGAATGGTTCAGTATTGGATCTATCCATGAACTGAGGGCCCAATTCTGGGTAGTATTTCACCTAGTAGTGATACAGGCAAACCATGGCAAACCCCTCCGTTTGCCCGCGCCGACGTCCACGACGTGTCCGAACATAAAAAAAACACGGTGTTTTGTGGGACAAATGCGCATGTCCATGATCATGGCTTTCATCTTGCAACGCACAGCTTAGCAACCTGTGCGTTGAATGTTGCAACATCATTATTATTATCATCATCATAATCATCATCATCAACATCATCAACCCTAAACCCCAAACAATAAACCCTAAACCCTAAACCCAAGACTCCTTGAAAATTCCCTTGAATAAAAAGTTTAACGGGGGGTGGGGATTTGATGATTCCCTAGAAACTCTGTTGAAACATCTTTAAGATTCCCTCGAATATAAAGTTTGAGAGGGGTGGGGATTTGATGATTCCCTGAAACTCTTTTGAACCATCTTTGAGATTCCCTTGAATCAATATCCTTTGCAACAGCTAAAAAGTTGTGTGGGCGGAAGGGGGGATTTGTGCGTACTGATACCAGTAGTCGCTGAGTAATGATAATTAGTACCAGGTATTGTATAGTAATAGAAATAGTAATAGCAAGAGCAATAGCAATAGTGATAGAAACAGTAATAGTATTAGTATTAGTATTAGATTAGTATAGTACAGTCCAGTAATATTTACTAACACATACCAATACATACTAATACTACTACTGCGGGTGCAGGCAAGGAACTGCGAGCCTTGACCTGACGAAAACCAATGACCACGGGGTGGGCAGCTCTCAACAGGTTGATCCAAACCTTTTATAATTGGGATTAACTATGTTAATTCCATAGTTGTATAGTTATGCTATATGGTTAACTGTTCATCCATACAACTATATGGATGATTCAAATATGTTGGGATTAACTAACATATTGCGGATGGAAGAAATCCTGCACCAGTTGGTAGATGGTTTGTTCCAATATAATGCCACTATTTACAGTGTTTCATAGTTACCACATGTTTCCAGTATTCCCACCTGGTGCAGGATCTCGTCCATCCACAGCAACTCACCGTTAACCATCAAACATTGCGATTTTATGGCTAATGCATCGGGGATCAAGATAGATTAAGCAACAGCTTGAGGATCATTGAGGATATACAACGTGGGTGTAATGGGGATATACTGACTGGATGATTAGTCTCAGTAAATTGACATATGTCATGGTAATATGGAAACGCCATGGGCTTCCGCAGGAACATTATTTATACACTCTGGTTATTTAACATAGCCATGGAAAATGGCTCATTTATAGATGATTTCCCATTAAAACCTCCATTTATGAGGGATTTTCCATGGCTATGTTAAATAACCAGATGGTAAATGATAGGTCTTCCATATCTACGTTCATTTATTGGAGGGTATTCTTAGCTGGCCAAGTCAAAATGCCGCCGCAGCGATATCACTGATAAACTGCAATACATAGTCATAGTCAAACTACTTTGCTCTTGAATAGGAGGTTGTAACACATCGTCGCAAGTCACGCAACATCACTCAAATCATTGAAACACATATTTTCGTTTCCTTTCTGTGTATGTCATGGACATATTCATACAATTGTCAATACTAATATACGATATAGATTCTCAACATGACTTATCTGCCCTATGCCCTATACACTCTGGACATTCCTTGCAACCTTTGGGCGACACAGGCGCTAATACTTCGTCAGGTCTATTTCGAAACGGCAAATGCACCGTCATTAGAATAAGGTACACTGGATACAATGTACCCTCTGGTAAACTAACATAGCAATGGAAAATCACAATTTTTAATGGGAAAATCCACTATAAAGGGCCATTTTGAATAGCTATGTTAAATTACCAGAGGGTACTTGTATGTTTCAAAGCGCGGATCCCTCCGAATCAGTGGATTTGAAAATTGATTTTGTCAATCTTCGAGGAAAAAAAGTAGACTTAAAGGGTTTTGGGCATCCACAATTTTGAAGGTGCCTGTTTGCGATGTGTACATAAGAGTATTCTCAATGCCAAGCTTTCATTGATCTTTGGGTGTTCTAATCCCTGACTGGATGTACAGCTTTGGTCATCTCGGATCATTTATCTACAGTGGACATCAAAATCGGTATCCTCAAATTGGAGGCACTAGCACAAATCCTGATCAAACCTATGTATGGGCTCGCGGGTATCCCAGTGTCATCCGCATGTCTCACCTGTGAACAGGAAGGCAACACTCTTCTGTGCTGCATGAGGCTGTGCCTTCAAGGCGCGAGCTCCTTTGAGAGAGTGCTTGGGCTGGCGTCAACCACATGACCTGCCCAAAACATGTAAGCTTGCCGCAGTTTGTTCCATGGATCTCCGGAATATTCATATGGTGGATAGTGGTGGTTTGATTTACGTTCACATGAAGGCTCATCTGGCCGCTTTCCCCTGCAGAAAGATGAGCAACAAACCGGGGTCCTTTCTTCTCCGCCCTGATGGCCGTGGCTGCCAGCACCACATGTCCGTTGGTGCCGCCAAAGCCGAAAGAACTCACAGAGGCGCAAGGGAAGGAACTGCTTGGGCCTTGGATCTGCCATGGTGCCATGGTGATAGGGGTCCTTAAAAGGATTCATATATATATATATATGAATGTGTTGTATGTATATATATATTTATATTATATATACAGTATAGGTTGTTCAAAATTGTGGTGCCCGAAAACTGCCCTTACGCCGCCCTTTCGCGAACCTTTCGCGCCCCAGCAGAATCGGGACAGGGAATTATGATCATATTTTCGTGTGCATATTTCGTAATAAAGATTCACAGGAGGATTGTATCAAAAACAAGGAAGTGGAAGCATCCGCCTAAATCATTTTGCAGATTGCCCGACAACGGAAACACAAGTTGAAAAGACTTTGAAGGGTTTTTGCAGTGGCAACATTGCAAAACAAACTAGACCATTTTGGGCCTTGGTGGGATCCTGGCAGACTCGCCTTTCGCCAACCTTTCGCGGATGTCTCGCCTATAAAATTGATTTTTTAAATTCATGTTTTATGAGAGGATGGGCGGGTGTTTTAGTTCCAATACTAAAACCCATTACTATCAAAAAAAACGAAATTCTTGTTCAATGGTTGTATGAATGCAACTGTAACTGCCAAGCATGAATACTATATCACATACATCTATAGTCTAATAGGTGTATTCAGACCTTTCGCGAACCTTTCGCCGCCCTTTCGCGGTCTTTTGCCACTGCAGCAAAAATACACATCCATATCAGCAAATGTCACTCGGATACTAAAAGTATCTAAAAGTCTTGCATGGATTTTAGAACGACTCCCATGTCTGCCCATGTCTATATATATATATGACGGTTTGTCAAAATGTCTTTGTTTGGTTTGGTTGATAAATCGTAATTCCATGCACGCCGCTTCATATTTGAATTTAAAACATATGACTTATCTTACATATGGGACAATCAAACGCTATCAATTTACTTGTTAGTTTTTGTTCCTCATTCAGATTGACACTTGCTGGTTCATCATCCGACAGTTCAAAATCTTCTGGGTTTGGTTGCTTTTTGATGGGATTATGTTTTCTTTTTGGTGGCATCTGAACATAGTTCTATAACTTTTCTTATCAGACACAGTTGTATTATTAACCAGATAATTTATAACGAATTGTATGATTTCAAATATCAACTTACATAATATTTTTACCTTACCATCTTCAATGACTGGGAATTTGCTGTCATCTGACATTCTGTTTTCTATCTCATCAACATTCTCCAACTAGGTTTCATATTCATCGCTGTCGCGAAGCACCCGAGGCTCGTTAGAACTCGTGTCCATTGGATATAATTAGATCATAATTTTAAAATCTAATTATATCATTTATCGCGCAAGGACGCTGTAGCAACTTACTCAATGGGGTAAGCAAGGCACATCGAAAAGAAAAAAGAGCGGGGTGCTAAACGAGAATGTCCAAATGTCAAAAATAAAACAAATTCTTTTTTGGCGTAGATATTAAGAGTTCCGTATCTTCTATTACTTTCCCGCACACAAAAGATACCATGCCCATCTTCCAACTCATGTATCCAATACCCCGAAAATCATAGTTTTTGCCACCTTATCCATCTCTATATGCTTTTGCGGGTCTTGTTGAAAAGATGATTTTGACATTTTTGACATTTTTTTTTGGAATTTGGAAAGTGTGTATCCCTGGTTTTGTTATGTTTTGTTGATGATGAGATGGTAGGCGGCTTTGAAATGGTTTGGGTTTGATGAGTTGGAAGATGGGCAAGGCCTATCCTAACTTTTAGACGGTCAACCCCAACGTTTGGGCTGCCCATTGTTGTCATTTGCTTGATACAAGTTTGAACACAAGTAATTTTCATAACCTTGGGTTTTTGAAACCATTTTAGCACCACAAGCAAGTTCTGAAGCCCCTTGCTGTTTGCTGAATCTTTAACCATCCCCAATGTGAGTTGGATCCTGGATTTGTTTCAGCGGGCTCCCAAACTCTGAGTGAAGCATTTTTGACCCAACGTGCAATGCAATTGCAGTATACAATTGTAGCTTTTTGGTATTTTCAGTGTCTGCTTTGATCCTCTTGAGAACTGCTGAAAACTGTGCACGCTTTAATGGGTGCAGAGTCGAAGCCATTTCTGTCTACTGTCCGTAGCTATTTTCAGCAGGTCCCATGGAAATGATCAGGAGAATCAGATTGACAAGTTCTTGTTTTCTCATGTGGGGATGGGTCAAAACCCTGGTACCTAGTGAACCCCAAAATAGCTGCTAAATGGATGTTCATCCCACTAAAAATGTATCTATAGGTATTGATCCATACCCATGTTTCCCCTGGTGTCGCGCAGTGGACCAGTGGGGACTAGTGGACTTGCAGCCACCAAAAATCATCCCAGGAACATGACTCGGATTGGAAGTGAACAGCAAAATCATCGATGTCTTCAGCGATGTGTGCGTTGAGCTCATGCAAGTGCCTTGGAGGCCAGGTTGCAGCCGAGTCTGGCCGAGGAGTCTGAAGACAGCCACATGTTGGTTCTATTAAGAGCGATTTGTTTGTTTTGTGTAACTTATTCAGCTACTTTTAGGTATCTTTGGTTATGGTTTACCAGGTTGGTTTTGCTCGAAAAAAATGTGAGAACTGACAGCTCCTACCCTCGAAAGTTGTGATCGCTTGGAGCAGCCAGAACCCAACAGTGTGGCAAACAAGAATCTCAGTCCTGGAATTCTGCATGAAAGACTTTGCCTCGCATCATCTCGCATTTCCAACCTAAAGATCTCCCAGAGCAAGATCCAGCTGATCTTTTCGTGCCAAGGTGCAGATTGGCTGGCAGGCAGTTGCGTGAGAGCAGCGAAGCAAGCTTCAGCATACCAACCATGCCTGGCAAAACATGCAGAACGCACCCCTCGTTTTTTCTTCTCAGGGTACTTGTAGATGCCAATATGTGCCAAGTCCATCACAATATGGGGGCATCCTGTTTTCATGCCTTTGCAAGGAAGTAAACCTACTTTGCGCCGAACACCTGCAAATCCTGAACCTTCTAAAGCAGCTCGGCTCTCCGCAAGTAAGCAAACCTTTGCAACTCTTCTTCTCCTCCGAATCATCAACATCACCATCACACTCATACAGTATCACGAAAAACATCACTTCGCCAAGATCACCATCATCCCATTTCCTCTATCCCTCCATGATGATCCGATGATCCCTCCATTTTTCATGGTGAATCGCTCATTTCCCATGTATATATATATATACACATGTATATATATATACATATATATATATATACATAATATGTATGTATAATTAAAAATATATATATATATATCATTTATATATTTATTTCTTGGTGAACCCGCTTTTTTTTGGAGCACTTCCCAGCCCCAACCATCCAGGTCTCCCAACATCCAGGTTTCCCCAGCGCCTGCACCGCCTTCCAGGTGTCCCACGTTGCTCTTGGCCGCGCCCAGCTGCAGCGGTCGCAGGCGCCCGGAGGAGCCCAGGGCCGTCTGCAGGGCGCCCACCTCCATGGGGTCCCCCAGGGCGGTGCCGGTGCCGTGGGTCTCCAGGCCTGGGGAGAGTGGAACCTGAGGTGTTTGCCAATAAAAGAGGAATTATATATGGAATTATATGGAATTCTATGGATTTATATGAAATCATATGGAATTATGTATAATTATATATATATATATATATTATATGGAATTATTGGATAAGCACACATGTTTCCAACAAGCATATTCATCCCCAGTAGAACTGTTTGTATTTGTATTGTAGGAATCAAATGTGCACAACCATGAATTTCATGTAGAGATATATGTGAAAGAACGGATGGGAAAAGTATGGAACGGTATATCAAGGCTGCAAACGATTCAGAGGACAAAGCATAGCCCTAAATCTTTCTGCACAGAATTCTTGCTCACCGGAATAGCATCAAGGGGAGGGGAGTTCGCATGGGATATCTTTTGCAATCTAACATGCGGTATATACTCGGAAATCAACAATTTCAATTGGTAAATCATCTACAGGTGGTGGGTGTTCCTTTACCATGCCAAAATTGCCAGTGTCGATTTTGATACTATCCGCTTGTCTTCTGGGCGTATCTCAAACAATTGGACCTGATTTCACCCATTGGTTTCCTGCTGGTTTCTCAGTGGAAAAGAAACGCAGCTACGATGGGGTGGGTCCCCGAAGAGCTCGCTGTCTGAGCTTGGGAGCTCATGAGAATTAGATGCATGAAACCACTCATCAACGATGATCATGTTCCCATATGTGAATTATTTTTGGCTAGTAATTAACGTCAATTCCACATAATATATATATATAATATATCTGAGAAATCATGCAAAATAACATACAGATACATAGAGTCCATTCCATTCCATTCAATTCCAATGCGTTGCATTGCCATATTTCTTGAACATGCCTGACCCCGAAGGAAACGGCTGCCGAGGTACACACATGGCTGGCAGGATTCACCTGAGCCTCTGCCAAGGCAGACAGCACCACAGCTTGCCTCGGGTCATCCAATGGCTGCGGCGTCCGAAGGCTTGTGATTTTGATTCAACTGGGGCCAACCCGCTGCCCTCTGGTAATTTAACATAGCTATGGAAAATCACCATTTTTAATGGGAAAATCCACCAGAAATGGCCATTTTCAATAGCTTTTTGTATGTTTACCAGAGGCTACTGACCTTCAAAATCTTCAGTCAATTGAGGATTGCATCACTGCTTGTGACTGGACCACTGGACCACCGAACTCCAGGAACTTGTCGCGGAAACACCCCGATGACTCCGAGCGGCTGTGAAGGTCCGTTGGGGGAAGTCAAGTTGGAGCTGCGCCCATCTTGGTTCAAAGCAGATCCTGCCAGGGACGTGGCAAGGAGAGCTGACTTTACCCACACCCAGCTGGTTGGCTTGGCATCAACTTTTTCCAGGTGTTCATTGAAAAAACCATCTACCAGCTTATTTTGGTGTTGACCAGGGTATACGGTATACTCATACCCATTTTGGTTGACTCCGTGCGCCATTGTTGTTGGTTGAACCCCTAGTTCTCGCTGATATTGAAGCCCCCTATCTTAAAATCGTTGGTTCCGTGTCATATCACCCATTCTTGTTGCTTATCTATTTGAACTCCCCATTGGTTCTATCTCATATATCTGGCTAGAGTATGTAGTCATTCACCAATCTGAAAGGCATAAAATTCCACATTCTATCTCCATAAAATGGTCGCTTATAAATCCTCAGCAACTTGCTTAAATCCACATTCTATCCCCATTTTCCCCAGTGAAGTCCCTAGTTTTGAATTTGGTGAATTCCACTTCTTATTGGTGAACCTCAAAATAATTCCACTTCTTATCTATTTGGTGAAGTCCCTTATTTTGAATTAGGTATATAAACCTCAAAAATTCCCCAGGTGAATCCCACTTCTTATTGGATTTGGACCTTTTTCCCGGGTTAAATCCACATGCCTCGCAGCTCGGCAACGGCAGAGCGCGAGCTGCCCAAGCGTTCCAGGGCATGGGAGCCCACGCCTTCACCTGGTGATGTGGACTAAAGCTGGATATGGAAAACTATAGGCTATATATGTATATATGTATATATGTATATATGTATATATGTATATATGTATATATGTATATATATGTATATATGTATATATGTATATATGTATATATGTATATATGTATATATGTATATATGTATATATGTATATATGTATTTTTTTTATATATGTGTATATGTATATATGTATATATGTATATATGTATATATGTATATACGTATATATGTATATATGTATATATGTATATATGTATATATGTATGTCAATGTAGGTTTCGTCAAGTGGGGGTTTACCCCCCAAATCATCTAGAATTAGATCTTTTTAGTATTGAAATCTATGGTTGGTACACCTATTCTAGGAAACATCCATATACATTTTGTATATATATAGTATGTACAAGATCTGTAACTTTATGGATATCTTACATTTCTAAATTATATGTGTGGAATAATACTGGATATGTATAAGACTTGTCATTTTACGCAGTCTTAGTTACATAATGCAATTGCACATAATTACAGTAACTATGTATACATGCAGTATTATATTTGTATATAGTAATCGTATATAATTGTAGATCCATATTGTATACAGCTGCATCTATGTATATAGATATACACACACACACTAATTGTGTATATATATATATTTGATTATATATGGATATATATATATATGTATATATATATATGTATATATATATGTATATATATATGTATATATATATGTATATATATATATATGTATATATATATGTATATATATATATGTATATATATATGGAATCACGGTATACAATTATAAACTATACATACATATACATACTAGGTATACCAACAACAATGGGGAAATGCAATGCAAACTTGGGACAGAACCCTGGGCATATCATGAGCAATCAGTTGGGGGTAGCTACAGGCGTTTCCACAATCCGTGGGTGGATGTGAATGGATGGTACAGTAGATGTGAGTAACAACAAACCATGATGTGGATACATGGAGATCTGAGGAGCATCAAAACTATTGCACTATTAAATATATATATATATAACAGGGGGTCGTCCATGAACTCATATTACTGGAAGGATTCCCAAACACATGCTCAAACAATCAACCGAGCGCCTTCAAATCCTTCAAAGACCAAGCGTCACATTTATCAGTTTTTATGAAATCGAAACCAGCCACCTTCAGCCACCTTCAGCCCACCAACCCTCCGAGTCCGGTTCCGGCAACGTGGCCTCGAGCATAGCCGCTGGCCGTGTCATCAAAGGTCTTGCAACGACCGCCCTTTGAAAGCATTTGGGCTTGGCAGCAAGCGACGAAGGTTTGTGGCAACAGCAACCTGCAGGCTGCGACGCTGCGATGAGTGGGGTAGCTTTGGTTCATATTGGTTTGGTATCCTTAGAAATGCTGGCAGGATCAGTATCTAAGGATATCGGTTTGGAATATTGCTTTGGTATGCTTATCACCCCAGTGGAAAAAGAACGAATCTATGGCCCGCTGATGATATTGATGCGTGGTTAAATATCTACCTTTCCGTAAACAGCCACGGAAAATCACCATTTTAATAGGCACACTATCTATAAATGGGACATTTTCCATAGCTCTGTCAATTTACCAGAGGGTATCATCAACAACATGAGCTTGAAACATCTCCTGCATCTCCCCGGGACATCCAAAACTTTGAATCCATGTGCTGTGGGGTGGCCCCCCGTTGGTTTCCCTATAAAAACATCCTGAAATAAATCATGACTGGTGGATCCAGATGGATTCATCTGGCATTCTGATCCAAGGGATCCAAGGGACATGTTCACACCACAAACCACCGCCAAATCGCAGCGTCGTCGTCGCAAGGTAGCCTCGGCTGAGTACTCATATTAGTACTCATGGGGTGACATCCACTCAAAATCACAAGTTGGAATAGAACACAAGTTGGTAAAAATTATCGACACTTGATGTTCATTGATTTTCATGGACGTTTGATGTTCATAGATCTCCACTGCCATGTCACTGTCATCTGGCTTCGGGCTTTGGGATCCAACATGATCCAACCAATATGGCAATATGTGACCTTGGGCAAAGCCTGAGTCTCATGCAGGTTTAACATGTCAAGAGGCTAATGACAATGCACTACTTTCAAGTATTTCTCTGCTTTTTCATCAGAATGTCCAACAAACATGCGTATTTCACCACCAGAATGAAAGCCACCTATTATGTCAATCATGATTCCAACAACCACTATCCTTCTGTTACTTAAGATCATTTTAAATCACGAATTAACGGGTGGGCGCCCATCTTCATTTCCCGTCATTCGTTTCCTCCCACCCTGCACTGATAAAATCCTAGAGACAGCCGCAGTATCTGCTGCCACCAGGGAGGAAGAACAGGCGGTGTCCACAGTAGCCTGGGGAAATCTGGGTTGGCCCGTGTTTGAAAGATTTTGAAAGTTCCCTCTGGTAAACTAACATAACTACTGAAAATCAACATTTTTACAGGTAAGTCATCGAACTAAATGGACTATGGCTTCTATAGCTATGTTAGTTTACTGGAGGGTAATCTTTTGGAGAATGATTTTGTTTGGCGATGTATCTGACCTGCGTTGGTGATATCTTGGTGGGTCAAAGAAATGTGGCATCCAGCAATCAGGAAGAGACACTGGTTCCAGTGGAGGATCAGTGTGGGTCTGCCACCTTGATAAAACTATGACTGCAAATCACTATCGGCTGCCCAAATCACTTCGCATTGATTAGTACCAACATGTATATACAAAGCATGAGCAGATTGGCGGGTCATAGATTTTGCCCCATGCATGTGTTTGTCTGTAAATTGGGAACCCTTAAATCCACTAGTTAATCATAACTATAACTTCCCCTATTAGAGTTGCCAGAAATGGGGGTAAATTCCCTTTATTCAGTCAAACCACTTCGTTCAAATCTGGTTATATTCCCTTTATATCCTTTTACATCGCAGTATATCATCCTTTTATATCCCAGTAACCCCGCCATAAAAAATCATAGCTTCAAACACATTACTAGTAATGTGGGTAAAACAATGCCATGTTTACCATCCCCCAGTCATCACCATAAATATATCGGTGGTATATATAAACCATTCCCAGTCATGGGTGGTAAAAATGGCATTGCAGCCTACCCACACGGCGGTTTCCTAAATAATATTGGTAATTATCCCTAAATCATCCATTTATAGATGGGATTTTCCATCACATAAACCCATTTTCATAGGGATTTTCCATCACATAAACCACCCCAAAATTTGGGGATCCCCCGATGGGAAACTCCCACATTCCAACCATCCATCCATTTTTTCGCCCTTCGTTGCCGTTGCCGTGTGGCGGATGGACCCTTCAGTCCCAAGGAGTAACTGATGCGATTGGCGCTGATGGAAGATGATCCGCCCGTGGCGGCGTAGGGGCCACCTTTTTGCCAAAGGCGGTGACGTGCCAAGCTGGACATACTGTTGGAGAGGAAATATCGTATTTAGATGTATTTATATGTATTTATGAGGGTATACAGCGAATAAACTAATTTCTCATCAAACTAGGAGAATTTATTTTGACTCAGGAGGGGTAGTTACTTAAACTTACAACATTTGCAGGAATCTGAAAGAGCATCAACTCTCTAGGTTGATAGTGAACAGCTCATGCAACTCCTGCGGTCCGAGCGGCTTTGGGCTCCAGTGATCATGCGATTCCAATCGCACTTGTCCTGGGCACGGTGATGGTGACACGCACGTGACATGTGGTGATCAATGGCGACCAATGTTCAATCAAGTTCGCAAAATCTTGCCCTGACACCTTCAAGAAAAAGACACTGAGATCAATGTCCAATGGCCAAATCCAAAGTAAGCGAGATAAAAATCCCCCAGGTCCTGGCCGACGAAGACACCTCCGAAGCTTCCCATCAGGGATCCCTTGCCTGGGTCGCAACACACCGACGATCCTGCGAACTCTCCCCAAAAAATCTTGTTTTCCAAGATGATTTTCCTATGGGTCAATTTTTATCCAATTCCATCAATTCATGATACCCTCTGGTAAACTAACATAGCTATTGAAAATGGCCATAGAAATAGTGGATTTTCCCATTAAAAATGGTGATTTTCCATAGCTATGCTAGTCATTACCAGAGGGTAATTTATTCAATGTTTTTTGGCTCCATGTTATTTCTTTAGTGCTGCTGCCCTGGTTGTTCCATGTTGTTCCATCCAAAACATCCCGCGAATCGAGTTGTTGAACAAGTTGCAAGTCGAATGGGCATAACACTCCACGTTTTGCACATGTTTTGAGTTTGACCCCCAGATGGTTGAGTGATGTTCAATGAGCCTTGCATCCAGTATTTTGCTTTAAGCAAGTTCTAAATCGTGGACTGAGTATGACTGAGTTATCTCCATGAGTAATTAGTCAACTATACCAGTTGAACATCCACCAACTATGAATCATGTTCCCAATTAAACAGGTTGCTTCTCATTGGCTGAATCGCTGCAGGCCAGTTGCTGAATCCTCCTGCAGAAAGAGCTTCAAAGGCTGCTTCCAACCTCAAAGTTTGTCCGTCGATTGCGAGGTGAAAAGATGTGAAAAGCTTGGATTCGGAACAGCACATGCAATTCTTAGGATATTTTTAGGATATACTTATAGGCTTAGGCTATATACTATCACTGAGATCATGAACTTATTTAAAACCAACAACCATCTGGCAACATATTTGGAAGGTCCAAGAACTGGGCAGGCCCCAGGGATCAAAGTTTCGTGCCCAGTTCCAGTAAAATGGTGGACGCCGTTTGGAAATTGGAAGCTCTAATATTATCTTTAGACATTAAGTATAGGAAAACTCTAATATCATCATATAAATTCATATTATTTGCCAGCAAAGTCGTGGGATTTTTAAACCTTAAGATTTGACCTTTACAGTCGACGATAACTGGGACACACAGAGCTGTCCCCACCGAGCAACAAATGTCTCTGCTGAGGATCCATAGTCTCAGCTTCTGCCTCACTGGTCATGTAGGGCAGGACATGGCAAGATAAACCATTGGATTTTAGGTGCTACCATTGTGATAAACGCCAATAAATGTGTAACCCATATTGCAAAAAAAAACATGCTCAGCATAGCAATTTTATAAGGGTTGGTTGAAGTCTTGCCTTCAAATCGCCCATGTACTTGCCATTTGGATCCATTTGGTACAGTAGGGCCATTCAGTTGGGCTGTCATAGCTTAGGCACATTGACCCTCAGCAGCTACCACCCCCTGGCCTTGCTGATACTGAATGTTGTGGCAGCAAAGAGTTCCACTCCCTCAATGAAGGCGGCGTGGCGAACGTACATCTTCAGACCTGCGGAGTGGCGTTGCAGATGGAAACAACTGCAGAAGTTGGTGAACCAGCCGTGCATCTGAGAATCTGAGTGGCCAGGCCTGTTTTGGAATATGGCTCTGGATATTTCTAGTTCAGGTTTGGAGTGAATGACAATTGATGTACATTGATGTACAGTGATGCAATTACACTTGTTTCTTCAGCCAGCATCAAGCCACTAAAAAAACTTGCAAACATGCTATATACTTTCGACTGAAATGGGCAAGAAGGAAGATGTAGGAAGTTTGTATTCCGATCATTCTGACATGTTGCCACCGGTTTCCATGTTTCATGGCTCCAGAATGCTCCAGCTTCAAATTTTAGAGACGCTGGCTCTGCGCACCTGTGGTTGCATCAGGGTCGTAGTAATCATCCACGTCCCACCTGGCTCCGTTCGACAGTTGGGGTCCCAAGCTGACTTTACAATGTGTCCATACCTTTGCATATGCTGCATATCAACATATATGGCAGTGTGTCAAAACCTTGTACCCCTGGTGAACATCAAAATAGCTGGTAAATGGATGTTCATCCCCCTAAAAATGGTATTAATAGGTATTGATCCATAGCCATATCAACATTGAAGATAAGACTTGAGATCCATTTTCAGTCTTTACTGTGAGATGTCGGATTGCCACCTGCTGTGTGGCATCTCCACACTACAATCCACGCCCATGCTGAGCATGAAGTCGAATTTCTCCAAGGACCAGCTATCTCCTGCAGCAATCCACCAAGGTTTCGCTGAAAATAGGCGACCTCTTGCTGGAGACACCCAAATCATGTAAATTCTGGCTAAATCCTGTTAAATCCCCATTTCAAAGCAGTTTATCACCATCAAAATGGAGAGTTTTATTTAAAAACATCCCAACACCATCCATTTTCCATTCATTTTCCCATCGTCCTGGCAGGTGGCAGGCCCCTCCCAGCACAGCCAGGTGCTCGCTTTCGCCGCTCACCGCTTTGGGGGCCGCCCGACTGGGCGCCACCACCACCGGCGCTGCAGCGCCGGTCTCGGGCAGCAGCTGCTCAGAGACGTAGTCCGCCAGGGCCGTCAGGGTGGGGTAGTCGAACCTGGGTGATATCATGGGGATATAAACTCTAGGTCATTTTCACCAAACATGGTGATTGAACTAGGAAAAAAATGACACTTCCCATGAAGAATTGGGAGTTCACTGGGAAAAATGGGGATAACATGGGGATTTAAGCCAGTGAAATGTTTGTTGGGTTGTGTTACACCATCTATCACCATCTACTGTAACTAGTTCGATAATGTTCGATGTATCATCATTCATGATATTATAAATATTCCCCAGTAAACCTACTTATAAACCAACTTAGCTAAATAAGGGGCCCTTCCTTGCAAGGGCTGGGCTTTAGGAAACCCTGCCTTCAAACACTGTCTTTGCAGAGAAATCACCAAGAAAAGTCGAAATCTCGACACTTAGTCAATCACTTGCAAGATAGTTACTTGGATCACAACCATCACTCTGGATGTTCCAAAAAATTGGTGTCCCGAAGAATCCACACGTTGATGTGGTCCGTGTTGAGAAAAACAAAGGATCACCAGCCCGGCCGCGACCCCAGGCCCCGTTCCCAAGCAACATCAAAGTGCTTGGCAAACGAACAGAGCGGAACTCGCTGGACACCTCAGATGGGAAGCAAACCTTGCCCACTGATCAACAAACATGGCCGCCATGGCCATTGAAAATCCCAATTCACGGGAAATCACCTCCAAAAGGGTTTTAAACATGTTTTAAGAGGTTTGAAATAGCTTGTGGAATTTCCATTGCCACATCTGATCATCAGAAGAGCTAAGATAATCCCGACTCTTGCTGATTTCCTGACTGTTGAAATCCATTAAAATTCTTCGGTTGTTTACCACACAACTTCCCCTTCCCCTGTTCTACCACACCCATGAATGGTCGCCTTATTGCGGAACTCCACAGCTGAGAGGGAGTCAATACCAGCTTCCATCAAGGGGGTGTTGTCATCCATCTCAAGACCTCAGGGCAGTGCCAAAGTTTAACCAACTTACAGGTTGGGCCCCAGAATTTTTCCCACATCTCATCCTACATCTCAACGCACCGGTTTGCGGGAAACTCGTTTTTTTACATTTTTGGGTTCCATAATAATGGTGGGGTTTCCTGTAAATTTCCCCCTTCTCCGATTCTGGGAATATGCCGAACAAATGAATCTTTTCAGATGCTGATTCAGAGCGGTTGAATGACCGCGCGCAATTTCCAGGTGTTGCATTCCACCAACAATGAGATCGGTGCAAAACAATGGACATGTTTACTGTATATATCTTATGCATCCCTTTGCTTCTCTGAAGGGGACTTCCCATGCGAATCAGCACTTTCAGGGTGCTCTTAAATGGCCGGTTGAGACTTGGATTGCCAGCGGCTTGCTGAAAATTTGCATCCCAGAATTGGATATTTCGGGATCTATGGCCCCAAGAATTTATAAACACATAAATTGAACCCATGGTTTCCAATAAATGTTCCCCAAAGCTACACCACTTGTTGGATAAGTATAGCTATTTGGCTCTGGAAGTGGGGCTGAATCTGGAAATCGCTACTGGTTCTGTGGCGTAGACCCTCCCATTAAAAAGGCGCTATGAAAGACCTGCGAGACCGAAAAGGCACCTGGAGCTAGTATGTGAATACTATGATACATAGATTGAGGCTTTGTTATATGATGTTGTCGACTGATTAGTGTGAGGGCCCCCCCCTAAACAATTTTAGTCTACTCAATAACAGACCATTTTTTTGCGCCCCCCCACCTTCAACAATTTTTTTGAATTGATTTCAATTTACTTTCAATTGAAATCAATTTACTTTCAATTGATTTCAATTTACTTTTAATTAATTAATTAATTTCAATTTACTTTCAATTGATTTCAATTGATTTCAATTTACTTTCAATTTACTTTCAATTTACTTTCAATTGATTTCAATTTACTTTCAATTGATTTCAATTTGCTTTCAATTGATTTCAATTTACTTTCAATTGATTTCAATTTACTTTCAATTGATTTCAATTTACTTTCAATTGATTTCAATTTACTTTCAATTGATTTCAATTTACTTTCAATTGATTTCAATTTACTTTCAATTTACTTTCATAAGGGTTTAATAAGGCATCTAATTATTTGGAAAACCTTGCATTTTAAAAGCTTTAACACAAATATTGCTTTCTAAAGTAAATGGACCAGCTTTACTCAAAGAAAGGTGGAGAAAGGGTTTTTGTTTTTTTTTCAACCCCAAAAGTTGTTGGGCACAATAGAGTACCATCCAAACATTCATATTATTGAGTAACTCAGCCACTCATGGGGTACCACCTTGAAAAATTGTCTGGATGCTGTTTTTTAATAAGGGTTTAATAAGGCATCTAATTATTTGGAAAACCTTGCATTTTAAAAGCTTTAACACAAATATTGCTTTCTAAAGTAAATGGACCAGCTTTACTCAAAGAAAGGTGGAGAAAGGTTTTTTTTTTCAACCCCAAAAGTTGTTGGGCACAATAGAGTACCATCCAAACATTCATATTATTGAGTAACTCAGCCACTCATGGGGTACCACCTTGAAAAATTGTTTGGGTGCTGTTTTTTAATAAGGGTTTAATAAGGCATCTAATTATTTGGAAACCCTTGCATTTTAAAGCTTTAATATAAAAAAAATGAAAAACATAAAAACATTTTTTAAGTATTTAATTAACTAATTTAAAAATAAATTCAAAAAATAATTAATTAATTAGGAACATTTTTTTTTTAAAAAAAATCTGGAAAAACATTTGCCACAATACAGGCCCCCCCACCAAACAGCAGGTTACTGAATAAGGAGGAAACTTTTTGCCACAATAGAGTACCATGCTACTAATCAGGTGCCAACATTATATATATATACATTATTATACACACATTATTATACATTTATTTATAGCAAACCAAACCAGAAGACATGGCCAAGCTGAGACACCTTGCAACAAGTAAGACTTTGGTTGGAGAGTATATTCCTCCAGATTGCTCCAGATTGCACAGTCCATCATTCATGATCAATCCGGTTGAACGATCAATCTTGCTGTTGGTTCTAGTAGCACGAAAGCCCATATTGGTTGATTCAAAACCTTGTACCCCTGGTGAACATCAAAATAGCTGGGATTTATGGATGTTCATTCCCCTAAGAATGGTATTTATAGGTATTGATCCATAGCCATATTGGTTGATTCAGTCTCCAGTTGGTCCAGTGTTGGTGACATACCTTTCATTGATGATGTCCCCAACTTTGTTGTATCCCTAAATCTCACATTATCACTAGTTACTAGTTGGTGGTATACCTACCCCTCTAAAAATATGAGTTCGTCAGTTGGGATGATGACATTCCCAATATATGGGAAAACATGTTCCAAACCAACCAGTTTTGATTCCTTCTTTCCGTATTCCTCTTGGAACCTATTCCAGAGCAATTCAGAGAATAGATCCCAAACCTCATCTAGGGCCACGGGATTTATCATGGAAATCCATATAGCAATGGATGATTTCCAATTGTAGCAACCCACCAAAAATGCAGAAAAGTCAAATCCAATGCGAACATCACGTGATAATTGATACCTTTGATACCTATCTTGTTGGGGGTTGCTACATATATGTATGTATATAATTGTATATACACATCAGTGTGCATGCCAGATTCTAGGAGCTCTACTTGTTGGGGATCTACCCTCTCATCTGGATACAGTCAAACTTGGTAACCCACATACCAAAGCTGAATGATTGGTGCTTACTAAAAAAAAATCAAGAATGGGGCAAACATCAATATTATATGTACAACTATATATATATATATTTGTATTATACTGTGCTATATACAACTGTGTATAGATAGTTACACATGTAGATATACACCCTTCTGTAATCAAACAGCGATGGGAAATCCACCATAGATTCAGATGATTTTCCATTAAACCTCCATTTTAGGCCTTTGGATTTTCCCAGCACCTCCATCTGCTTCGAAGTCACCCATGCCACTGGCCGCGGAGCGGATGGACTCCAGGACCTTCTTCTGCCGCTCCTGATCATATGATGGGGAGATAATGGTGACTGGGGATTTGATGGGAATCTAATGGACATATTGATTGAACCATTATATAGCCGTATTGAACCATTATATTATATTGATATCTATATATCCCAAGAGATTCATGTGATTGAAATGGGATAGCCGTATTTATATATGACTTTGGCTGTGTCTGAACATGTGTTATTGATCCTTGATTTATTGCAATTTGAGAAGGGAAACTGATAATGAAATCTGGGATTTTATACCTAATTTCGAGATAAACTCCTATGAAAGGTCTGCAAGCAACAAAAAATCCGGAATGTTGAGTTTGACCAACAAACATGTACAGAAACTGCATGTGCACCAACAAACGTGAGGTGAACCAAGCCAAAGTGGGAATCCCTCGTACAAGAATCGAGATAAAACCAACCCGGCATTTGCTGGGTGGTGGTTTGAACCCATAACATAGAGGTGTAATAAGGTGCAATTTGGTATAGCAGTGACACCAGTGTTGCTTTCAGGTTATATGACCAATGGCAACCAGAGAACTCCGACCCGAATCGTCGCAGGTAGCTTGATGGTGCTTCTCATTCTTCATCAAACACATAGTTGTGGGTGAAATTGGAGAGCTTTAAACATGGAATGCTTTAATACATGACAAACATGGAATGCTTTACTGCGTGACAAATTGCCAGTCCAGGGTCTGAAATGTGGAGCCATACAGTCCCCATATGAGCCATGGTCAACACACCTTGCATGAGGGCTGGTCACCCAGCCCCTTATGGACGGGTACAAAAACCCACGTTTCGACCTTGGCACATGGCTTTGTATGAAAATCTGGTGAACCAATGGTCAGTCCAATTTTTTCCGATTAAAATTGCCATATCTTGGAAAAACTCATATGGGTATGGGTCAAAATTAGGTACCCCAATAATTGGATGGTTAATACTAAACTAGACTAACATCTGTGGTCCCCTAGGTCTTCCATTTTGACCCACATCCATATCACCTCATGACAGTTTCAGCAACCTCCATTGGAAGCAGTGCCAGCGATGAAGAAGCACCAGGAGCACCTGAAATTCATGTTGGAAGTTTTTTTCGCGGCCCAAGGTGTCAAATTACCTACCATGACTAGGGACGATTTGTGTTTCATCCATTCACGGTGGAGTGATAGGACTTCGACACTGGGCGCAAAGTCCTCAGTCCTCACCATGGTTTTGCCCGAAACAAGGGGACCGCCAAATCAACCAGGGTTTATCATATTATACAATATATTATAATATCTATAAACAGATATAATATATATATATATATTATTTATAATCTAATATATATAATATATTATATATAATATATAATATAATATAATATATATAATATAATATATATATATGTATATATAATATATATATATATAATATAATATAATATAATATATAATATAATATATATATTATATAATATATATATATATGTATGTATATTTATAATATATATATATATGTTCCCAATCAACAAAAAACAGTTTGTTTAATCCCATTTCCCGGGTTGAATCCCCAAATCCTCAATAATTGAGTTCCAGATGATATTCCCATTTTATATCGTGTTTTGGTTGGGTTTACAGCCACAAGATATGTGAGACCATGCCACGGCACCTCCAGCCGCAGCCTGCTCTGTCTTGGATTGTAGATCCATGAATTGTGGGATGTCCATGCCAACCTGCAGGTTGACAGCGATGGCTAGATGTCAGCAACAGTGGGTAGAATTAGGAGGGTAAATTAATACACACACTCTATTTTTTGTGCAATACCGTATTTGAATCTATTTGATAGACTTTGGTAGAGTATATCATGTATATCAAGCGTTCAAACTTGGAAACTCATCGACAATAGGGTGCATACGCACCATGGTGATGGTAATGATTAATGATCTTGGCTCAACTTGGCAGCATTTCACTACCCAACACCCAACACGGAATCGGCATCTGGGTTTCTCCAAACATGGGGGGACACACCAAAACCACGCCATTTTCATGGGAAAGCACGATCCATCAAAATCAAAATCCGTCAATCATCCTCAATCACCAAAATCCATCAAAACTCCAATAATGTCCCAATAACCATCAGTACCCTATTTTTGGAGCCTCCCATCTTTCCCATATCTTTCGCCACCCTTCGCCTCACGCATGAAGGCGGGCCAATCGGCTCGCGCCAGCAACAGCTCTGAGCGCGGCGAAGGTCCAGCCAGGCAGAGGCGCAGGGCGCTACCCACCTGGCAGATTCGGGTGGATCTTCTTTGGACTTTTGGAGATGGAGATTGAACATAGTGGTACCTAAAAATGATCCTTTTTCATAGGGGAAATGATGATCTGACATTTATATAAATTTATAGTGTTTTAATGGTATTTCATCGGAATATCGGAAGAAACCATAACTAGGTTTCTAATTACTGTAATGGTTTTTATATGTTTTTATAGTGAAATGGGGGGCTCTCTCTTAAGTCATGGGGGATCCCCAAGTCACTATGGTTTCAAGACTAAGTCATGGTTGTTCATGACTTGGATTTGGGGCACCACCATGACTTCGGAAAGATCCATATTTAGGGGAACAACTCTATGGAAAAAGGATGTTCTACGGGGGAGTATAGATGATGGGAACAGTGAGGAGGTCTGCAATTGTCTGGAAATACTTCAGGTATGGGCTTGTGAAGTTCAGATTTTGATGCACTCTTGGAACGCACCTTTGAGACTGATGGAGCTGAGAGCTGTGGTTCGAAACCTTCATTTATGGTGGGGAATGGTGGGGATATGATTCTTCGTCCCACCATGTCCTCCCAATGGCCAGATTTATGTAAGCAGCTTGGCATGTCAATGTATATAAAGGCTGGGCATCCTGGTACCGTAGCCAGCATGTGCCACAAATCTCGAACGGAGATCTCTAAGTAGTTGAGAGTTTTATCATGTTTTATCGTCGCCCTCCTCATTGTTCCTTTGGCACCTTCAACAGATTTGCACACATTTTCCCAATTCCCATCACCCTGCGTGTTCCACAGGAACTCTTTTAGGTGTCACTAGTCAGCTCATGTACCAGTCAGCACATGATTCGCAAACCACCGTTCCAGTCATTTCCATTTCCCAAGGAATTTCGCCCTTGCACAGTTCGGGTGAAGATCTCCGGCATCGCAGCTCGCTGGGTCGCCCTGTGGACCTGTGGGAATGTGCCATCACTCGACTCGGCGCCACTCAGTGGATGCTCTGAAGCTCCAGTTTCAAGCAGCCAACAGCCAAATATGAAGCATCAATTGCATAGAGAACTGACCAGCAATCCATTGCAAATGAGCTTTTGAAGCTGTGCTGAACACTTCACAAAACTGCTGTTGACGTTGAGTCCTAAGGTCAATTCCTTCAAAGTGGGCAACTTGACCAGCTCCAAGCTCTGATTGAACTTCTGGCCCAGGGTCAGTCTCTCCAAGCTCACTGGGAAGTGCACCCTTTCCAAACTGCGATTGAATCGGTCCCCAAACGTCAAGCTTTTCAACTTGCCTGGCAAGCTCACTTCCTCCAAGTTATGATCGAAGTAGTAACCAAACGTCAACCTTTGAAGATCAGATGGTAGATGCACACGCTCCAAGGAGTGGTTGAAGTCTCGACCAAACTCCAAACTTTCTAGACCTTCTGGAAATTTCACTTGCTCCAAACTCTGGTTGAACTTGTCACCCAGGGTCAGGCTTTGCAGTTCAGTGGGCCAAATTACATTGAGGAGGCTCTGATTGAAATCTCGGCCAAAGAATATGCTTTTGATAGAGCTTGGCAAGGTCACATTCTCCAGGCTTTGGTTGAAGTGATATCCAAACGTCCTGGTTGCTGGTTTCAACCCCCCGGCAATACCTTCAGTCGCTTGGGGTTCATCCTATAGGTCCTACAGTACATAGAGATGAAATACCAAACGTACTTGAAAGCATCAACTATCAACCAGCGTCAGGTCTTGTAACTTCTCCGGAAACTTCACTTGCTCCATGCTCTGGTTGAACTCGTCACCCAGGGTCAACTGCAGCAGATTGCCGGGCAGCATCACCCGGTCCAAGCTTCGATTGAAGGCATCCCCGAAGGTCAAACTCTGCAACTTCTCCGGGAACCTCACCTGGCGGGGCTTGGCCTGACAGTGGGCTACTCCCAAATTATCATCAGATTTCCATATATATATATGTCCCGTTGAATTGGCAAATTTTAAGATATTTTTAGTTTATACCGTTATGTTATGTCCTATTCGTGGACAAAGCCCAAAATGGCATGGTTTCTGTGGCAATCCAAGTTTCCGCCATGGGGAGATTCACGCTTTTGGTGTGCCAAAGGGCAATGGGAGCTCAATGGATGCACGGTTTATGATTACCATCTGGTAATTTAACATAGCTACAGTATTGAACATGACCATTTATAGTGGATTTTCCCATTAAAAATGGTGATTTTCCATAGTTACGTTAGTTTACCAGAGGGTATGTCGCCTCCAGATCAAGAAATACTGTGCTTTTCAGGCGATGTGTCCATGTCCCACCACTGCCCAAGCCTGGTCTAAGTTCAGGTCGAATTCATCTCCCAAGGTGAAGCTTTGGAGTGATTCAGGGAGAGTCGCAGATTCTATGCTCTGGTTGAATCGTCCTCCCATGGTTTGGAGTGTAAATAAGGCAACATCAACAAAGCAGCAACAACTATGGTAGTTTAGTTGACCGGAACATGTATAAAGTATATGTACAAGAGAGATCTACATCACATCATACATGTACTGGTGCATCTTGTATTTAATACAGTATCTAATTGGGGATCTACTGCGATATGAATATCATACGTCTACAGTATGCATTGTATGTATCTACATTATATTGTTGTTGTTCTTTTTTTTTTAATTATCTGTTTTTCTAATCACAAATCATGAACTTCATTTCTATGTCTACAACGTCTATTTGTACGCATTCTGTACTCATACATGTTATGTCATCATAGTATAGGCATATGCATATATATATATATATATATACACACGTATATGTACACGCATACACCTTTTGGACGTTGATTTCCAACTTCCAGTTCGAAATCCTGCCTCCATATGTCAAACTTTGGAGGCCACTTGGCAGGGTCAGCTGTTCCATTCGTTCCATTTCTGACGGAAGACATCCTGGGCAAAAGGTCAAACTTTGGAGGCTGCTTGGGAATTTCACAGCTTCGAAGCTTTGCCTGAAGAAGTAGCCAAAGGTCAATTCCCTGAGACTTTCAGGAAGATTCACTTGCTCCATGCTCTGGTTGAACTCATCACCAAAGGTCAAGGTCTGCAGGTTGCTTGGCAGAGTCACGAGCTCCAAGCTCCGGTTGAAATGGAACCCAAATGTCAAGCTTTGCAACGCAGAAGGCAAATTCACCTGCTCCAAGCTTCGGTTGAATTTGTATCCCAGGGTGAGGTGTTTGAGGTTGCCAGGGAAATCAACTCCCTCCAAACCTTGGGTGAAACAGAAACCCAAGCTGAGGGCTTGAAGACTTCTTGGCAGCACATGCTCCAGGCGCTGGTTGAAGCAATCTCCGAAGGTCAAGGTCTCTAGATCTCTTGGCAAAGTCACCTGCGATCTTCATGGGAAGTTTCATGTCCCAAAATGGTGTCTTGAAATGGCCACCCCCTTAAATGATTAGAATCGGTTCAAGTCTATTATAGTCTATTCAATTTTTGACAGAAAGCCAGTGGATTCCCCAATTTTGGCATGAAATTGAAAAAACCTGTCGGATCTCGCGTTTCTTTTTTCGCCTCCTCATGCCTCCTCCAAACTCCGATTGAACTTGTTGCCAAAGGTCAGGTGTCGCAGGTTGCCGGGCAGGGCCACTCGTTCCAGACTCTCGTTGAAGGAAAAGCCAAAGGTCAAACTCTGAAGGCTTGATGGTAGCGACACCTGCAATCCCATCGTAAATAACTTTTATTTAATTTAGTAGCATATAATGTGATAACGTATAGTAGGATTGCCAATGTGCATCTGAATCTCAACATAAATAAATAAATCTTCTTGAAACAAACTAGTGTGGTAAGCACAATAATAAACCATCCCCAGTTTCAAGAGAAATGGTTGTAAGAACCATGCCTTAAAGGGTGAAATTCCATGAAATTCCTATTGAGTTTACCACATTCCACATTGTCTCGTTTTGATCCGTTTTGCACTGTCCTAAAGGTGAATCAATATGATCTATAATCATATATTTTTTTGCCATCAAATTTTCACCTCAACCTCTCTGAAAGAGGAACCGCACCTCCTCCAACCTCTGGTTAAAGTCATTTCCGAAAGTCAAGCTTTGAAGTCGCTTTGGAAGATCGTGTTCCAATCCTTCAACGCAGCTGGAGTTTCACTACCAGAGATTTGGAAGGGTTGCAAGCAGGGTCACGGCTAGTCCAAAGAGGCAGCAGAGACAAAAAAACAAAGTTGTGGTGTATTGAACATGTCGGCTGAGAATCTCTCGTTGAATTTTGGGTGGAACGTCAACCTCTGCAAATCGTCTGGTAGATGTTGCAACTGGCTCGGTAGTGCTCCAACCCCCTCAAGCTGTGCGATTCCATCCAGTGACGCTTCATCGTCGCTCACTCCCATCAGAAATCTCCAGGCATCTTGCACTTTCACAGGAACATAGACATACGACAACCTGGTTGCCGGTTGGAGCCCCCCCCCAAAAAAAACAAACAAACAAACAGACAAACAACAAACACACAAACACATCCAGCTGGGGATAATCTTCCCTAGTAGGGACTTTACACAACGGCTATGGATCAAAAGATATTGCAATTAAAACATGGAATATTCCCTATCAAGTTCATATTGGGAAACAAATACAGATTTTGATCCATCCCCAAATCTTTTTTCACCACTTTCTAGCAACTGAGCCGATGTGCCAGAAATACCCTGCTGTGCCAAGGTTTCACTGAGAGATAAAAGAGAAGCTTCGAAGAGCACGGCCACGCTGGCACCGGGTTTGGCAGCCACCCTAGCCTCGGGAGGGGGTCAGCCACCAACAAAAAAAAACACAAAACGTAGTGATGAGCATGATCCTGCTTTTCTGAGATTAAACAAAACAAGAGTCAGATCCAATTATTTGGGGATGGAGCATAGAAAAATCCTTGAAATCTTTTATTTTTTTTGGATGCAAAACAGGAAAAACAGTATCAAAAACATATTTGAAACAACCAACCAGTGTCTGCAATCATCTTGCGCAACTCCATGCCTCTGATGGACTCAGGCACCTGTCCAGCTGAAGAACCCATGGTTGTTTCCGGCTTTGACATCCCCACAAACTCATTGGAACCCAATTCTCAATGGCTAAATCGTGTCAAATCATGTGAAATCAAGTCAAATCAAGTCAAATCATGTTAAATCCACATGTTTAACTCCACAAATCTCAACCCAGTTCTCCGCATCTTCTAAAACGTTGCACCTTCAGTGCGATCTTTTCACCTTCCAGACTCACCACCTCCACCACAATGGATCCCTCCTCCACGTTCGGAGCTGGATACGCCATGGCGTTTTTCCGCGTTCGCCAGTGCTCAGGCGATAGGGAGATAACCAATGAATAGCCATGGATGACTGAGCTGCAATAGCTGCAATCCATTTCATTTTGCAATAGTGGAACATCAATGGACATCGTGCTTGACCTTTTATACCTTTTTTTCTGTGTTTTCTCAATGAATTTATCCCAGAAATTGTGGAGGGTGGTCAGCAGTGGTGATGCCATTCTTTCTTGATGCAACAAGAATCACATATGTTGAAACCATGAACTTCAGCAAATAAGTACCTAATTTTGCACAAGTTTTTCTTTCGTCAAACAAGCACCACCTTAAAAAAACACAACTATATTTCTATCATATTATCATGTTATAGAGTATCCGGTGTTCATTTTGAAACAAAGAACACCTCAAAATTTCGATGTTTCAAACGGGTTAAACAACAACTACACAGCTCCCAGGCTCCCAGCCATCAGCACAAACGCAACGCCTGGGCTGGGGACAAGGTCTTCAAGGCCATGGCTTCCAAGTTGTCGCTGCCCGCATTCGCAGTGACGCCCACCTGGCTGCGTCTCTGACGCAGCTCGGAAGCTCGGAAGTTGCGGGGGGCGAAAAGCCGATGGAGGGGAACGGGAACCATATGGAACCATGGAGATGTTTCATTTTGAACATAGGAAATCATAGGAATGCGAATCTCAGATACTCTGCCAGAAAGACCAGAAACACATATTAGCTTGAGCTGCTGATAGTCTATTTTCCCATCGAGCATGGCTGAACGTTGACCCGGAAAAGATGAGCACTGTTCACAAGACCCGTCCCAAGCGACTGGTTGTTCTGAACACCGCTACCAACCATCAACCAGGGAATTTGAGCATTGCTCAGATGAAGTTGGAACGACATGGAAGTGAGATGCAAATGCTACCCTTCTTCCACATTAATATAGACCCTGAAACTAGCATTCTTTTAGCGGAAAGTCATCTTTTGACCTTGTTATTTTTTTTAGGAAGGGTTTTAAGATATAGATCAACTCCACGTTTGTAGTTTCCAGGCGGTGAGGCTCACACATTTTGGGCACCCTCCAACCCCCCTTTAGACTTTGAACAAGCCTGACTAACATGTGGTTTCAACGGGGGGAAACCTGCGTGCCAACAAACCTTTGTATGAGGCACCGACAAAAAGATACAAATCATCATGAACATATTTTTGAACATCTATCAAACCTGCACCCCCCCAATATCAACATAATTTCAACATATTCCGAACATTCAGATGCCAGCCCCATATCAAATTTATCCCAAATGACCAAGGCTTTTGGCCCATCCTCTTGGTCCATGTTCAATCCAAAACCTAGTATTCAAATCTTTAGCTTCTATTCATTTCAGGTACTTACCAAAGTCTTACATTGTTATTTCCACTTATGGGTCACGTTATAATAACATATAATAAGTTGAGGCTGAAGGTGGTAAAAACGAACCAATCTATAAAGCACTACAACCATAAACGGGTTGAGCAATTTATCTTTTATAAATCAAACAATGTATTCATAATCCCTGAATTACATATCGTGTTGTGGTTGGGTACATTAGTAGAATTTACCCACCCTATCCCACCCTATAAACACTATAAACTGGAATACTTTGGGTATATTTACCATCCGGCACCATTTTTGGCAGGTAAAATCTAATAAATCATCTATCTATCAATGGGTCATTATTTTAATGGTTTATCAGATTTTACCTACTCATTTTCCATAGCTATGTTGAATACCCTCTGGTAAACTAACATAGCTATGGAAAATCACTATTTTCAATGGGAAAATCCACTATAAATGGCCATTTTCAATAGCTATGTTAAATTACCAGAGGGTAACCAGAGGGTAAGGCTTATTCCCCCAACCGCAGAGCTGGCACCTCTGAAACAGGGCCCCACTTGAGGCTCACAGCATGGCGGCTCAGCGCAGTGTGGCGCCATGCGGCCAAGCCGTCCAAGTAGCCTCAGCGGGGCAAATGCGGCAAGGGCTTTCTAAGGGGGGCTTCGGAATATATATATATATGCATATATACACTCTTACATTTATGTACATATATATATATATAGATGTTATATTTCATATATATAACATGTTTATCATTTCATCTACATTTGGATGATGTCTGATGTTTTGGGAAAATGGATCACCAAAGAGATGCAAATACTATGTCTTCATACCATATGATACAACCCAAACATGGGGTACCCAAAAAAAACAAAAAGGCCAAACCCAACCATTAGGTATATGGTCTATAGTGGCTACTATAAGGTGATGTCCAATATTCCCAAAATGGGACAGTTACCAACCCCTGGTTTTGTATTGAGCCATCCTATTTTCAAGGTGAATCTCGGCCAAGGTGCAGTTTGCTGCGGCATAGGAAGCGCCGCCCGCAAGGCCTGACCCATGAGGCTCCGGGTAGCCCCAGGTCAATATGTAGGTCGGATGAGGGTCGTTTTTCAGAGTACCCTCTGGTAAACTAACATAACTGTGGAAAATCACCATTTTTTAATGGGAAAACTCACTATAAATGGCCATTTTCAATAGCTATGTTAGTTTACCAGAGGGTAGAGCATTCCCATCAAACTATTGGTGTCAATGATGCTTAGGGAATTTTCGGGAATGATCCATTTCATCACTATTAATAATAATCCCAGCAACCCCCAGCAACCCCCAGCAACCCTGCGTAAAACGCACCAGTAAGTTAACGGTGTCAATGGTTTGAAGCCTATCGGATCTCAACTCCAACATGGTGATCCAGCATACTTTTCACCCATGTGCTGCGCCAGGGGGAAAAAAACACCCTTGGTGAGAAAAAACTCATACACATGTTTCGGACGTACAAGCTCCCCTGCAGCTAAGTACCCCAAAATCATCCCAGTTTGAGGGTACCAATTTTTGACCAAATGCATAACTGATCTCGACTAATTTGGTCGTTTCAAGTCTGACTGAGAGGCTCACAATCATCTCCTGAGCAAACTGAGGTGGATCCACCGACCAGTATCATAATTATCTTTGTTAACTACTATTCTCAGTATCATTATCATTGTCGTTGTCATTCCTACATTCATATTCATCTTACTCTTATGATCACTACATTAATATATATGAAAATCATTTAAGTCGGATGATTTTCATATTACATTCATATACATTAATCATTACATTACAGTAATCTGGGTAAATTATAATATTTCACTAACCTGAATTAAGGCCATTTGGGGATGATTCCCCTTACTAACCATGATTCCAGTGAGGTCGCAGTGAGGTCGTTATAATTTACCCAAATAATCACCACACTCTTCCCCTTTTTTTTTGGGTCGGATGCCTATGGTGGCTGAGACCGAACTGAAGAGCACGAAGAGTTCCAAGTCCTCGCCCATGTCGTGGAGATGCCAGGCGCCACTGGCCTTTGGACTCATGACCTGCTTTTGGGCGGTGGCTTTTCTCCGGCTTCGATCTCGTGGTGTATAACCAGGTTTTGTATGGGAAAATATGAATGGTATACTATGATGATATACTCATAATCATTGAAAATCATGATGATGATGATGATGATGATGATGGAGTAAATTGATGATGAACTACTCTTGGATTATTCATAAATATTCATATCTACTAATATAATACCCATCGCCAAGACTTCATGATAGTGTGATATAAAACATTTTACGGAGAGTACTATACTCATCATCAATACTTCAGCATACTTCATGACAGTATGACTTCATGATATAGTATGATACAATATGATTATAGATATATATGATTCATAGTGCTGTATAATCACGAGTATTCATGATTGATCATGATTGATAATGATTATCTACTGATTTCTGATCATTCTATTGTGGGATCACTGGCTATGTAGACTGAAATGCTGTTTGCTCTTGATCGTACAGTCCTTGTTGTTGGTTGCTCAACCACACATTTCTACAGTACTGGTTGTCGTTGGTTCCACGCACAGTACCCATTTTGCTTGCTTTTTTGACGTTTTTTTCTGGTTGTACGCATGTTCAGTTGTGTTGGCGATACCTGTTGTTGGTGTATACAGTACCCGGCATTTTTTTGTTCTACACTGATCAGGAATCACTGGTTGTTCCTTGCTTCTCCGGTGCTGAAAAAAATGGTGATTTCCATGATTTTCCCATCGATGTTTGTCGGTGAAATGCGAATTTTCTCCGATCTTTTTTTGGTCACATTCCAGCATTGTGTTAGTTCATGTCCCAAGTTTGCTGGTTACATCATGTTACATCCAATTTGAATGTCATTTTCCAAGATTGTGGATTGGTTCTGCTGGCTGGTTGATTTTTTTTTTGGTCATATGTCATAACATTGCCCATCAAACCAGAACCCCACTGACATATCAACCTACAGAGGTATTGGAAACTGCCCAACTTACCTATGTAGAGGTCTCCATCCTGTAGCTATGATCCTATTTGGATCTATTTGGGGGGTTCCTAAAATGGGGGTTCCCCCAAAATCATCCATTTTGATAAGATTTTCCATTATAAACCATCCATTCTAGGGCATCCATTTATGGAAACACACCTTCAATTTCTGATTGTTCTGATTGGTGTCAGGCCTTGTGCAGGCGTCCAGCATCCAACTCTACCAGAGGGCATCGATCCAGGATGCCTGCAGCGTGCACCACGCCTGGCAAGGGGCGGGGCAGGCCCAGTGGCAACAACGGGGATCCAAATGGGCAGGCTTGAACTCGGTATCTCATGCCATTTTGATAGATGTTCTCTACGTGGAATCCCCTAAACTCACTGAATTCAGGATGTCCCTGTTTTCTGACGTGTTTTAGAACAGGTTTTAGGAGCCATGTCCAACCAGTTCAGCAGTAGGATTGGTTCCACTATGTCCTACCGCTTGGTTGATAGGTCTGATAGGGATTGCTGAATGAGTTGTATACCATCTTCCCAGCAATAGGAGTGGCTCTGCCCCTGGAAGGCCAAAAACCATCGGGAAATGGTAGCTCAAGGGATCACATAAATCTTTAGCCTTGACAATCCTAATGATCCCTATTGAAGAAGAATGCTGGACTTGCGTGTCCGAAAGAGGCATGAGATTTGAGATGAATGGCCAACTTCTTAGTAGTGATGAAAAAACCATAGCATCGCCCATGGAGGGCAATTCCATAGCAACAGGAGTGGACGCGAATGGTCTATCCCAAGCAACAACCTGGGAAAATACTGGGCCAAACTTGTACGGAAATCGGGAAATCCATGGAAATCCCACTCCTCATTACTACTCCTTCACTAACCAGGGAAAATTCCCATGGGTTTTGTGGTTTCCTCGACCAGGTCGAAGATCCCCAAGCCAGCAACTCCATGCCTCGTACCGGGTCCTTGGCATCCTTGGCCTCTTGCAAGAGGCTCGCAACATTGCTGGCCTTGCCTGCGTCGCAGGCCTTCAGCTGAACTGTCCTCAGCTTGCGACACAAGGAGTACTCCCCACATATTCCAGCAGTGTTCAAAAACCAACAAAAACCTCGGTTCTTCCATGAACATCTGGCTAAGAACGGGATTCCCACAATGCATGATGATAATCCCCAAAAAAAAACCCAATATGCATCATAGTAATTATCATAAACCGTTATTAGGATCATAAACCCATACAATCATAATCCCCAATATAATCCCAATATTGGATAGTAATTATAAGCCCATACAATCATAAACCAACAGGGATTGAGCAGCCACTGCTCACACGGATCATTGGAGATGGAGCTCTGTTGCCTTTTTATGGGATGTTTTTTCAGGCCCGAAGATCCCCATAGTCATCTCAGGATCATCCTCTTTTCCAGGAACAACATGCTATTTTTGCTCATCCAATCATTAGTCTAAGGTTTTTTTTTCTTCGGAAAACCCACCACATCTCAGAAAAAAAATTGCCATGGTTCTCTGTAAATTTTCTCCCTAAAAACAACCCATTGATCCAAGGCATAAAAAAACGTCATTTTACCACGGCACAGCCATATCAAAGCATAGCTCGCTGACTGGAGCGAAGTGCCAAGCCGGAACCACTGCTGAATAAAAAACCATAACCACCAATATATAATAAGATCATATATAAGAATATATATATATATATATAATATATATATATATACATAGATATAAGATGATATAAGAATCCTGGTCATTGAGAAACATCAAACAACTTCTAATATGAACTTATCATCCCTATCAAGACACACAAATAAAAACCATTACTCCTTTACTTTGAGCCGTAGTCGTTCCCATTGGCACTTGCCATTGGCACTTGCCATTGGTTCATCGCCCCTTTAATTTTTTTAAGACGTGGAAGGCATCCCGGCCAATCCACAGGGAAGAAAAGAAAATTGGGCTTGTTCATGGTTGACTTCGAAGATGTTGATCTTCGGGCAATTCATTGGGCATCTAGCAGCGCCAGCTGTTGATCCTTTCACTTCCTGCCGGAATTTGAACTTCTGTTCATCAAATAGGAGCTGTGGGAGTATAGTGAAGTGGTGATGTGTATGTCCCTACCGCTACCAATTCAGAACATGTGAAGTCATTGGATCCGCTAGTGCCCTAGGTCACGGCAGTGCATGCAACGCATCTGCTGGAAAAAGCCTCTGGAACGGATGCAAACTGGGCGGTGGTTGACCCACAGCTTCTGACCTAGTCAACTATACTGCTAGTTTGCAAATCATTGAAAATCAAAAGTTCATCGCCTGTATGTCACTTCCTTCAACATCTTGGTATTCTCCCTCATCCATGCCTGGAATCTCTAGCTGCTTCTTGCAGGAGGGGCAGGTTGGAGAGAATGCCTTGACCAACCATTTGGAGATACAACTTCGATGGAAACAATGGCCACAGGGAAGCCGATTCACCGATCCCTGTGAAGCCATGTCATCCAAACACACTGGACAAGCGTCAGCAACGCCTTCCATCTGTGGCGCCTCCTGAAGCATCGCTTCCACTTTCGCCACACGGACCCTGAGCTCCTCTGACCTACGATGTTGACGGAGCAGGATGTGGTGCTCACGACTCAAACGAAGAGAGATTTCCATCTTCAAAGTTCGGGCGTAGCGGAGCTCATCCAACATGTCCTGGATGCTGCTGTGGCCATTCACATTCAGAATGGGCCTATCATGAACCACGGGATCGTCAGATTTCTGGTTCCACTTGCCTACAGGAGTGCCGTTCCGGTTGATGCTAGCAATCACCAAATCATCTTGGCCTTCTGCGTGCAAGGTCTGAATACCCCAGGCTTCCAGGCCTTCGCGGCTCAGCTTCACCTGGTAGGTACCCGACTGGCGCATGCGTTGGTCGAAGAAAGTCGTTCCGAAGCAACTCATGGCGGGGAGAGGAGCACGCAATCCGCACGGCAAAAAGGCGGTGAACTTTTTGAGAAAAAACTGAAAAAGGGACAACATGAGCAGCCCCCCCATGTCACCCCTATGTCATGAGGGGTACTGGTGGGTTGAGAACACATTTTCCATCAAAACACCATGGAAAACACTGGAAAACCATCGGTCATGCGCGCATGTAGAAATCATCACCAAGCAACAGTCCAGGCAAAAGCTGAAGCCGCTTCAATTGATCTTGTAAACGCTTCTGACCTCGAGTGGTGAAACATGGTGAAACTGACGCAGCCCGGACCATCGGCTGGATGATTGTGATTCTAAAAGAGCATGATGGAGCCACCTACTACTCATTGTTGGTGGCCAAATCAGAACATAGCACCAACAATAAACCATGGCAAGCTACTGATTTCAACTAAAACTAGGGCCATAAAGAAACACACCCTTTGCTGGACTACAGAAGAGTGGCAGTTGGACATTTCTGATTGATTGGAATATTGGTCCATGGGGACCATCATCCGACAAAGACATGTTTGTTTCCGCTCCCCAAATGTCTACCCTCCAGTAATTTAAGACCTTGCAATGGAACATCACCCATTTATAGATTGATTAGCATCCATATTCACATTGAAAGTTGGGATTTTCCATTTCTATGTTAATATAACTAAGATAAAGATATCCCACCCTTAAAAAAAACAGTGACTTCCATCCAAGCGCGCCTTCCGCCACGCATCCACTGCGGGAAGTGAGCAAAAGACCTGCCACGGATTTCTGTGGGTTCCAACTCGCCTTGAATGGGGGTTGTAGCAGGGAACTGGGGTTACAACCGACCTAGATATAATGTGTATATATATATAATATTCGTATATATATAATATTCTATAATTATATGTATATATATACATATATATAATATTATACACATTATCTTTGAATAATTGAGCTCCTGGAAGAGAACAGCATGTTCTCTCATCTCTCTGGATGTTCTCTATTTATATGCCAGTGGCCACCCAAGCCCAGCTACAAGCGCAGAGGCAGATAATTCTTTATCTTCACTGAGGCTCAAGGATCGCAAAGAAGGAAAATCAAACAAGGAATAACCTGTAATAATTATGTATTATAAAACCAACAATAATAGGGGTAATACGATAATATGTATTATAACATGGTTCATTATTATATAAGTTTATTCATTGTAATAGAGATACCCAAAGATGTTCCATCTTAACAATCCATCCAATCTAACCATTAAGACATATTGGAAAAACGGCAAACACATCACATATAAAATGACATTAAATCACCAAGCAATCTCATAGAACATCAGTGAAAATCAGTGAAATTACATATATCTATATCAGTGAGAATTATACATCAATACAAATCACTGAATCATAGAACATCACATCTAGCAGTTGCCGTTCTTACCTGCAATCACTGATGTTCCATGATTAATCACTGAGTATGGGAGAACTATTGTCTATCTAGATTAGATTATATTTCTAACATAGATATGATATCTATCAATATCTATTAATCAATCACTGATGGTTTTTATTCGTAATTAAACCGTCAACAATAATCAATAATAATTAGCCATAAACCATTAATAAACCATAAATACTGTTATTATCAAACATAGAGGATCTATTACCCGCTGGTAATTTAACATACATAGCTATAGAACATGGCACATAGAACTAGTTGATTTACCGAACTTAAAGATTGTGATTTTCCAGTTCGCAAACTGTTAGTTTACCAGAGGGCAACTACATGTTTGTTGGGTATATCCCATAAAATCCCATTAAATCACCAGTTCCCCTCATTAAATCAGCATTTTCAGCAGTTAAATCAGAATTTTCAGCCGTTAAATCACCATTTTCAGCAGTTAAATCACACTTTTCCTTCATTAAATCACCATTGACCCATGGCGCCTGGTGCCCCCAGGGCCACCAACTCCTCTGCCGCTACCAGGCCCAAACCGCCCAGACCACCGGTGACCAGCTGCAGCCCTTGCTTGACCTGGCTTTCGAAAGGGTGGAATCGTTTTAAAAATAACCATGGTTAGCTGAGTTAGCTGGTTGGTGGTATAGGTTGTAACTATGGCCAGTTAGTCTATAACTATGGTTAAAAGCTGCTGGGTGATAACTATGGTTATTGCAATTCTCACCCAGGTGGATCTATTCAAGATCTACTCAAGATCGACCGAGTCATGGTATACCTACCCCTCTGAAAAATATGACTTCGTCAGTTGGGATGATGAAATTCCCAATATACGGAGAAATAAAAAATCTTCCAAACCACCAACCAGACAATGGTTAGTAACTGCCCTAAGTGGCTTTTCCTGTTCATGACGCTGGGTTATAACTATGGTTAGCGCCTTCGAATCCCTGTAGTATTTCCCCAACCACTTGCTACGGTGCTGGCACGATTCAGCCAAATCTTTGCATATCAGCCTCCTCCCATCAACGCCAGAAAGAGTGAGCGAGGCTGAATCTCCCCTTCAAAAGCTCTGTATAAATTTCTGATGAAAGATCCCTGTATCGCTGGTTCATCATTTCTCATCATTTTTCACGAAAAACAAATCAAAAAACAGCCTGAAACCTCCCATCCCGCCATATCCCGCCTGTGTTGCCATCTTCTCTGCATCTCTCATAGCATCCTGCCTCTGCAGCTGCAACGCCTCCTGTGGCGCCTCCACCACCCGCGGCACCCGACGTCCAGCGCTACCCGTGATAGCCTCCACGTCGTTGTCGGCGCCTTGAAGCTCCAGGGCCACGGCCTGAAGGCGAACAGATTCCTTCTGCTTCGGCTGGAAAAAATGGAGCGAATCTTGGGGATTTTCAGAGATTTTCGTGGATTTTGAACTTGTTTTTTTCCATGGACGGTTGGGATTGAAGGGAAAAACCCATGGATTTTGTGGCTGGATCTTAAGCCGTCTGCTTGTGGGCTTATGGGATGATGGCGATGAAATCTCCAGTCCATCCACTGCTTGATGGTGGTTTCTGGTGGGCCGTGTGACAAACCCATTTACCCTCTGGTAAACTAACACAACTATGTAAAATCACCATTTTTAATGGGACAATTCACATAAATTCACTATAAATGGTGATTTTCCATGATTTTCCATAGTTATGTTAAATTACCAGAGGGTATATAGAGTGATTCTGACTTCTGCCAGTTTCTCAACACTAGTTTTCTGGAATCGATTTCAAGGGACTTAAAGTTGATGGTAACAAAATCCTACACGTACCCTTGTGATTGCCGTCCAGCCCTTCACAACCCATCGTTCGCAAAGCCTTGGCCACGTCCTGATTGGTTGCCTTGGACTGAGCACATCATACAGCCCTAACGTCAACAGCTGGATGAACAAACCCTGGTTGATTTTAAGAGGTGATAAGTTGCTACTAAAATGCTATCCCGCCAATGAAACATCCTAGGGGTTTAAGCCAGGGGTGGCATCTCAATGTATCAACATTTTGCCCATGAATTTCCCCTGAACAAACCGTCGTTTGGGGATCATCATGATCATCCTCGCAGTCTACGAAGACTCTTCTGGATCTAAACTTAGAAACATCGTCCAAAAAAACATCAGAAAACTCTAACTGAGCAGTGTTCAAAACCCTCATCCCTTCAGATTTCTAGGGGCTCTCACCCCTACTGTGGATGGAAGAAATCCTGCACCAGTTGATAGATGGTTTATCCCACTATTTATAGGGTTTCAACCATCCTTTTGGTGGTGCAGGATTTCTCCCAACAGTATCAGGGTTGTTGGATGGTTTTGGTCACTGAATCCAATCCTGGCGGCTTTGAGATCCACATCCAACGCCTTGATGACCAGCCGTGGCATCTCGATCCGCGCGGAGCGCAGCAGACCCCACAGCGCACAGGCGCCGTCGAAGGAGGCTCCGGCCTCGTGCGCGCCGCGCGTGACGACCAGCAGCAGCTTGGGATCTTCGGCCGTGGCGGCAGCTTGCAGGAAGACCAGCAACTGTTCCAAGGCCTTCCATGGAGAAAGGTAGGGGGGGTAGGGGGATGTCATATGAACCATGAAAATCCATGGGATGGTATGACTGTGATATGATGTAAATTGATGTAATAGGATATGATGTAATTAAATGTAATTAATGACTCGAATCCTGATATTTGCACAATACATATCACCGTTTTCAGTGATGAATCACCAAGAACCACTAGTGACACTAGTGAACCACCAACTGATAATGACACACATGGTTTTTCCATTTTCAAGAAGGATGAACAAAGGAGGAAGACAAACTGTGAATAAAAAGTTGCTTTCCCTGGTATAGTCCCCTCCTGGCTTTCCGTTCCACTCATTTTTTGTCACTGGGATAGCCTCTTGGTGCACTCAACTTCTGACTCCATTGCCAAACAAGGAAAGAAAGGGCTGAACCTTGACTATTTAGGTATCTTTGCAACTCATGCTTAGCATCATCTTCAAAACGTCAACTGTCCCAACGGCCAGGTCTGTTGCAAAACCACCGCTATGCCATGTAATGCCATGGACGTACACTTCTCAAGCAGGCTGTACTCTACGATTTTCAACCAATCTAAAACTGCCTGCTGTACTACTGGGTCCCCAGTTTCTGGGATTTCTTTCCTATCAAACCAACGGTGCCAAACAGGAAATTTATACAGCATCGCGGGGAAAATATCTGAATCTCCCGCAAGAAAATCAAGAATCCACATTCAGCTAGAAGAAACTTGTAGTAATGGGAATAAGTATGTAGAATAATCGGATATGAGTCGCGCATATTCAGCAGCAATCAGCCCCATCCACCCCCTTTTTCTTGACCGTCAACATCTCCACCGGACATGGCTCATCCCTTCCCAAGCCACCTTCATGGATGGCTCCCCACTGGGGGTTTCCGCGTCAGCACAGAAGATTGCTGCAGGGCGACCCTTCATGGCCTCATGAGTTGTGGATAGAAACAACATGTGCTGCACTTGGATCTGCTTGGTGGTATACCTACCCCTCTGAAAAATATGAGTCAGTTGAGATGATGAAATTCCCAACTGAATGGAAAAAAACCTGTTCCAAACCACCAACCAGGGATTCTTGCCAGCATCCATGGCGCCCAAAATGGGGATCTCTACATGTGGGACCAATATTTCAAACATCTTATCGAAGGAACAAACGTGTCAATGCTGCACTTTCTGAGTATTTTTACACATTTTACATAACACGAAGCTGGTTGGTGGTGCAATAACCATCTTGAAAAATGATGGAGTTCGACAATGGGGTTGGGATGACATCCCATATATGAAATGGAAAAATAAACAATCTTCCAAACCACCAACCAGACAGTATTGTTTGAATTACCAGTTTTGGCCGAACATTCAAGGACATCTATGATCTTACTGCCGTCACATTTGATAGGTGATACTCTGGGCAACAGGTGCCCCGCCGGTGTGAGAACCATGGAAACTGGCACCCAAAGAAGAGGTACTCGGTCTGCTTCGCGTTTTGTCGTTTGCTTGGCGCTTTGAATCCATCACAGAGCTATTATAGTTACCAGCTATAATATAGTTGACTATAGCAACTATAATAGCTCTAACGATATACCAACTATAACTATGCTATAGTCATTATAGTTGGAAGCTACATGGTCATCCCAAATAGCTATGGTATGCAAGTTGAAGCCACCCAGCAGGCCCAAGATCAGGACCGGCCTCAGCCATCTTGTTGGGCTCGGAAAGTTGCACGGCCACCTGGGTTGAAATGGGACGATCGCCACCACGGAGAGACAGTAGGATCTTCTGCAAACACATTAAGGCAAACAAGCACGGAAGGACACATTCATACACATGCATGTGTGCACACCATTGCACATCACTATGTAGATACGAATATGAACAGCACAATTTGGAATATCAAACGTGCAATAAGCGGGTCGTGGGGGGTTCTTGGTGGGTACAACAGCGAATTCATGGGTGTATGTGTCCGCCGTCAATGCTTTTGTCCCAGTTTTTGAGGGGTCATCAGATGCATACCCCAAACAAGTATAAACATGTTGGCTATAACGCCTGGATCACTTGGTTTGTGAAGTGCTCAAAACACCAATATGAATATGTGTTCCTTGCTAGCCAGTTGCTTTCTGGTTAAGTCCCCAAATTTTAAGGGGTAGGTTGCATCATATTCCACTTTTGTTGGTGAATTCCACCACTATTGTTGGTATAATCTCCACGTTTGTTGCCCACATTCTCATTTGATATGCCGCAAAAACAAGCAACGCATGGAACCACAGGGTTGGCAATCTCGATAGACTGTCCAAACATCCCCCAACCCCCTGTGGCAAAAGCAAGAAATACATTGAAATACGCATTTTGCCTTGGTGAACTTGACTCTCCCATTTTTTGGATATTTTTGGGAACATTCCCCCCATTTTATGTTCCCAAATCCTCAGTTTTCTGCCCCCTTCCTTGTTGTTCCTCCAAGGCACTGCCTTCGGCAGCGCCTTCAGCAACTCATCGGACAGGCTCTGAGTGGCCAGCACGGCAGTTCCTTCCACCAGGCCGGAGGTCGGAACCACATCGGCAGGCAACCAATCCTTGGCTGCACGCTTCAAGGTGGATGTCACATCCCAAACGGGCCTATCAGATCTACCCTCTGGTAATTTAACATAGCTATGGAAAATCACAATTTTTAATGGGAAAATCCACTATAAATGGCCATATTCAATAGCTACGTTAAATTACCAGAGGGTATCAGATCTATCCGAAGAAACATGCTGGTGAACTGGGTTCATCACATCTGGATGGAAACGGATCTGGAGGCTTGAACCAGTTTGAAACTGCCAATTTTTTCTATCTGTTACCCTCTGGTAAATTAACATAGACCCTGGCAGTCATCGGGGTTGGAAGACTAGTTTCCATTAAAAATGGGTGATTTTCAGGGTCTATGTTAATTTACTGGAGGGTAAGTCATCAGGTACCCCACAGACGTCCCGTAATTCAGAGGTGCTGCCTGCCACCGCACTGTGCAACATGGTGGCAGTTTGTCTGCTGGGACATGGGGGTGTAAACACGTGGACAAAGAAGTAGCTGATTTGTTCAAGTCATGCCAATTCGTTCATATCAGTTTCACCAAATGCCAAAAACGACTTGTTTCCATGAGATCCAAAATTCATCTGCAGAACATATCAGAACATGTTTTCAAATTGCAGATTCTGGAGCAGTCCAAGAGTCTTCCAAGTACAGAACTGTCTTCATCCATTCCCTCCATGGTTTCAACACCTGCCGGCGACCCGAGCCTTCCTTTCCGTGCTGATCCCAGTTCCAGTTCTGAAAAAGTTTGCAAAGACCAACCATCTTATCTGGGTAAATTATACTATTTCACTATATAACCTGAATGAAGGCCATAAAAGGGGATGATTTCCCTATAAAAGCCATGATTGCCATGTTGACAAACTCTCATTTTTTCATGACTCGGAGGGTATCTGCATCCTGCGGCTGGATCAGCCCGGGGAACGGGGCTAGCACTTTTTGATTATCCGAAAAGAGGAACAAAATGGAACAAATATTTTTCCTTTTCCAGGTTCGATTACCTAAGGGTAACCCAAATTTCAAGTGGTTAAAACCCAGGTTGCGAGTTACATCACGCTATAGTAACCCCAAAGTAGATCGAAAGGTCAAACTAGAGATATTACCAAATTCAGCATCTTTTTGGGGGGTTGGGGATGGGTTGACCAGCCCCGTGGCACCTTGCGCGCGAACTTCATGGGTGCCCTCTGGGGCGGTGTGGCGTTCGTCAGCGTGGCTTCCATCAAACCGTGGCCGTTGGTGCCAGAGAAACCGAAGGAGGACACCTAGGTGGAAGACAAACATCCAGGGCAGTTCAGGATTTTTGGCAATCTGTCTTTGATTCATTGATATTGTTTGAATTTGTTTGATATGTTTCAGAGTCTCAAGCACACAAGGAAAGCCATTATAGGGATAATTTTCTTCATCTTTTCTCACTTTGAAGGGTCTAGCAGAGATACAAACACTCATTGCCCATTTTTTATTGTCTTCAGATGCTTCAGGGAAAAACATGCGTTCGGAAACTCCGGAAACATCCGGAAACCCATGGATTTTTCCCCTGAAAAATCGAAGGGGTTCAACTCGGTTCTACCGTGGTCACCGAAACCTCAGATGAGAGACACCAGAGCGCAAGCTGGCACTCTTCCATTCCACCAACTTGTCCGGCCTTGGTGTCCCAACGATGAACGAAGACATGGAAGAAATTTAACAAAGCCACAGCGTCTACTAAAAACAAATAGGGTCTAAACTTTGGGCACTTATTCGCCTGGAAGTTTGATGAACCACCATGAACCCTCATCATTTTTAATATGTTCTTTGTCTTAGGTTGCAGCATCTCTCTGTTTCATGGGACACTCTGAGTGCCTGTGATGACATGTACTGAATTCTCTGTAAACTCCCATTTTGACAGGGAATTTCCTCTGCACAGAGTGCGCAAATCTGGAGCCTTGTCAACTTTCGGTAGCTTCACTCATTCCCCGAGTCCGTGACCTTTCGAGTCTTGGTATACCCAAGATCCAATTTTTACCCTCGGACGGGATCTCACCGAGGCACATCAAGACGTGGAAGCCCGAGAGATCGATGTTTGGATTCAGTTTTTCCAAGTGCAAATTCGGGGTGATCTGAGCCTCCAAAGTCGCATCTGGTGACATCATCTCGTGACAGCGCCACAACGGACATCTACTGACTTCCGATCGTCCATCAAAAGCCCAGATCTGTTGCTTCACTTCCAAGTTTTGATACCACGCTGATCAACTGCTGATCAATTTTCCCAACTTTCCCAACAAAAAATCATTGTTTCTGCTAATTCCAATGCCTTCAACCGCCATTAAAACATGCCATAGTCGCCCATGGAAATCATCCCACCTTGGTGATGGCCAAAATGACCTTCGAGATGCCGGCAACACCGGCGGAGCCTGGCCATTTTAGGTGGCATAATTTAGGGGATTTAACCATCAAAAACATGGGGATTTAATATGACTTAATATGATGTTTACTGTGATGAAAAATATGATTCAATAGGATGTGAAAACTGTGATTTTGATTTGTATAATTGTGTTAATATTGTTTAATGTGATGGGGATGTTTTTGGGAATATAACCAACACAACAGTTTCCTCAGTTTCCCATCCAAACACAAAAACTGACGGTGGATTTCACCGTCATAGGATGACACTGATGACATTTTATGGTGAGTTATGGGGGATAGAATGGGATATAGAACCATAGTGAACAATATATTGAGATGATATATAGGCGCAATGATTTTAGGTAACCAAACTGGAATTGGACATTGTTAGAAATTCATACAAACCCATTTTTTGTGAGTTTCAGCGAATCTTTTTGCGATAGACCATGAATTTTGGCCATAGGAGGAGTTGACTGGAATGTTTTCAACACTTCTTGGATTAGTGGCATTTAGATCGTGAAACAAACTGGGAGGTGCTTCAACCATCTTCGACGCTGCAGTATCAAACATGAAGTCATGGCTCTGTCTCCTTCTGCTTCGTCATGAAAATAAGAATATTACGGACACATGAGCAGTGTTCAAAATCCATCAAAATCCCCAATATATTGGGTAGATTTGGGTAGTATAATCCCCTATAATCATCAGCCAACCAGGGTTTAGCAGCCACTGCTCACATGGCCCCAAAAGCTTGGAACCCATTTTCAGCTGGGAAACGGTTCATGGCTGGGGCAGAAAATGTTTGGACACACTAATATTTATTCTGACATTTTGGTCATTCATGGTCATTCAATAAATACAGTATAAATACAGTATAAGTACAGTATAAATACAGTATAAATATACTTGTTAAATACAGTATAAATACAGTATGTCTGGGCTACTGTTGGTACTGTAGTATCTCTGCTGTATCCCAAGATTGGTAATATTTATTTATTTAGTACGAGCACCGTACTTAAGTCACATCAGGCGGGAAAAGTCACATCATCCCCATGGCACGGCGGCGATACACAGGTAAGCAGCAGCAAGCAGCAGCAAGCAGCAGCAAGTAGCAGGCAAGCAGCAGGCAAGCAGCGCCCCCTTGAAAGAATGATCAAATATATTTTTTAAAATCAACGCAATAAAAAAAAAGAACTTTTTCCAGGCGCACGGCCCCAAAACAATGAAATTGTTCAATTACTAAAATTGTGGTGATGCCAAACTTGAACTTTTTCCAGGCGCACGGCCTCCCGATACGACTTTTACAAGCTGATACGACTTAACGCTAGCGCTTGTAGCTGTATCCTCAGGACCATTGTTGGCTCTTTCCTCGTTATATTTGGTCAGCTAGATGATACATCTCATGACTTATACTGTGCTAGATGGGGGTTTCCATAAATGGGGGTATCCAAAATGGATGGTTTATAATGGAAAATCCATCCATGGATGATTTGGGGGTAGCCCTATTTCAGGAAACCACACGAAACCACCATATCCCATTCATCCTCAGATCTATCCCACAAATAACACCATCTTTGTTTATCATCGCGTCCCCTATCGTCCCCCTACGCGAAGTGCTTCAGTTTATCAACCCCTCAAGGGATGGTTACGCCTGAACTGTCTGGTTACGCCCTGACTTTTGGTCCCATAAGGCGCACCTTCCAAGTGCCCAATGTTGCTCTTCGTGGCAGCCAGGATCAATGGCTGCGATTCGCTGCGGCCTCGACAAGCGCCCGGCGGTTTTTCAAAGCACCGAAAAACCAGAAATGACCGGTGGATCGTTTTGAGACATACCCAACAGCACTGGTACTGAACGTTTTTGAAGTTAGCCGTTAAATTAACATAAATTAACATAATTAAATTAACATAAATTAACTATTAAATACAGTTAAGAAACATGCTCGTTGTACCGACGCGAGTTTTTCGATAAGGTGATGATCCACCGAATGCCGCCAGTCGGATGCTCGAAATACTCCACAAAAAAGGGTCCGTTCGCAGAGTTGGAACAGGTTTAATCCAAAGCTGAATCGCAGTCACTGAGAAACTAGCTGAACATTAGCCGGTCAATTTGCCATCAACGAACTAGTTGAACAATGTTGAACATCTACTTCCTCAAGAATCAACCCATCAATCGAATAAATCAAATCAACCCGATCAATCAACTCCATCGCACCTTTGCCATAGACTGCCCGCTGCGCACCAACCTCGATGGGGTCACCCAAAGCAGTGCCTGGCAGAGGCTCCCACAGGATCCACCATCCGAAGGGAAATGTCACCATTATGGGTTGGTTTTTATACCATTAAATTATATTCATCCAAAAAATCACCTTAAATTGTTAGGTGAAATTCGCATTTAACTTTTAACTATTATGAATTTTGTTATTGTGGCATTAAACCTACATTGAACCCTAATCCCTGTGTTGCTTGGTAAAACCTGTCCCTGACCCTGCTATCTATGTTCGATACATTAACCCCCGTTGACTCCTTATAATCACAAAAGAAAAGGTAGCCAAAATCCATCAACATCCCCATTTAATCTTCATCTTGTGGCTAGTATCATATCCCATTATAATTACTACAATCATATTCTTCATGTTTTCAGAACCACATTACAATAATGAACAATACCACCATTGAATGATTGTGGTTGCAACCCATTGTTCAATTGTAATTACTTGAACCATCTTGATTACTATAACATACTATAACCACAGTGTTGATTGTTGGTCAAATCCCCAACCTTTGTGGTTATATCCCAATTATATATCATTATTGATCATTGTGATTGTTATCAGTTATCACTATATACCAGTACAAGTAGTGATTTCACATGTTAGTATCAAAGGAAGTTTAGAAGTCTAAACTCTGTTAACTCTGTTATACTGGAAAATATGGTAACATGTTATAACTTATAACCATTGTTGATTGCTATACCACCACTATTCATGGTGAGTGAACCCAGTGAACCCAATGAACCCGTCGCGCCTGTTCCGTGGCACTCGATCATCGTCACGTCCTCTCCCTGCGTCTGTCGCTCGGCCAGCGCGCTGCGCAGCACGCGCTGCTGCGCCGTGCCGTTGGGCGCCGTGATGGTGGCAGCGCGGCCGTCGTGGTTGATGGCCACACCCGTGAGGGAAACCTTGGTGGGGGTTGGGGTTGGAGAATTTATGGGAAAATCGATGGAACATAGCCATTTTTTCATGGAATATGTAACAAGATGCAGTTTCTATGGGAATGAATCATAGTTTCCAATATCGAGATGGCTACAGTACTACAGTACGTGTTTCGAAAACAATAGGAGCTTGATCATAATCCCTGAGCTGGGAATCCCAGTTACTCAGCGGGTCACAACCACATTATAACCCAGTTATATGTATACATGGAATATGCCCTGGTCATATTTGGGTTACTAGTCGCTCAAAAAGTCGGACCCCCAGGAGATGTATATATGATTATATATGTATATGGGATTTCATATGCACGAAAACCAAACTATAGATATCTATAGGAACCAAAATAGATGAGTCCTATGGGTACATTAAGAATTTGGGTCAAACCAATCAAACTTGGGGATTTGAGAAATAATGAACATAGGAACGCCTATAAGCCTATCATTTCTAGGTTCCCGCTTTTCAAGCTATAGGTATATCTAAGTAATTCTAAGATATGTTAAGTATATTTCAGGCATTTAAGGGATTTTGCTATGCAGCTGCGACAGCTGAAAATCACTGAAGATCGGCAAATACCAAGCCAAACATCCGCAGCAAATGTGCAAAAAAGGGTCTACCAACTCCAACTTTCATGTTCCTCTAGACTAGAACATCAATTTGTTCGGGATATATATATATATATATGTATAATCATATATATAATAATAATAATTATATATATATGTATTATAATACACACATATATATATATATATGTATAGATAAATTCATCCACAAGCTTCTCCACATGTTTACCCAATTTTCACCCACCCCTGTTTTCGACCTGCTCAAATCCAACGACCTGCACCCAAATCAAGGCTTTGGTGGGTTAGCAATTGTTAGCATTTGATATATATATATGGTCCCGTCCTCCGTCTCTCCACCCCCCCCCCATGGGTTGGGTCCCCAGGTAGTAGCCCCAATTCCCTTCTATTTGCAAGCTATTGGCAGCATTTCTGAGGTCCAGCGTCGTATTTGCTAGGTCTTTGCAGCATTTCTGACTACCAGCCTCGCATTTACTAGGTACATGCTACCTTTTAGGCGACCTACGTAGCACACATACTCCTTCAAAGTACCTACGTGCTACCTATAGTCATACATACATGTGCTATGTATCTACTGTATCTACTTCCTGTTTACTACCTGTGTACTCTGACAACACTACCTCTGTTGAACATATACCGTACCTACCATACATGTCAATGATGCCATGCATACCATACCTATCATATCTATCATACATACCATACATACCATACATATGAAATGTAATTACCACACCTACCATACATACAATAGCATACATACAATAGCAAGCATACATGCCATACATACCATACCTACCTTAGATAGGACATATTCCATACCCATCATAGTAACCATACATACCATACAGACCATACATACTGTCATATCAAACATACCATATCCAACAGACTTACATACCATACCTACCATCCATACAATACCAACCACTCATGCCATACATACCATACCTACCATACATACCAAACATACCATACTTTACCATACCAGACCGACCATACACACCATACATACCCACCATACCATACCACACCCCCACCACACCACAGGGGGGGGAGGGGGACAGTGCCACACCCCCACCACACCACAGGGGGGGGAGGGGGAAGATCTCATATGGGACCAGTATATGGGACCCATCCACCACACCACAGGGGGGGGAGGGGGACAGTGCCACACCCCCACCACACCACAGGGGGGGGAGGGGAAGATCTCATATGGGACCAGTATATGGGACCCATCCACCACACCACAGGGGGGGGAGGGGGACAGTGCCACACCCCCACCACACCACAGGGGGGGAGGGGGAAGATCTCATATGGGACCAGTATATGGGACCCATCCCATATGGGGGGGGGGAGGGGGGGGGTGGCAGGGCCTGGTGCATATATATATTACATATATCCATATTACATATATACATATATACATATCATGACATATATACCCACATATACTATACATGTATACATATACATCTATACATGTATACATATATACATATATACATATATACAAAATACATATTACCATAAAATATATACATATATACATAATGCATACTTACATTTACATCTTTACATCGAGACATATATGACATTTAAAATTATAACATATAATAACAATATATACATATATACATATATACATATATACATATATGCATATATGCATATATACATATATACATATATACATATATACATATATACATATATACATACATACATATATATATATATACGTATATATATATTTATATACATATACATGTACACAGTTGGATATATGGTTCACCTATACAACTATACCATATGGATACCAGTTGGAGTTCTCCACCAAGGGCAGCCATGCAGCAGCTGCCGGGCGTGGATGGCTCCACCGGACGTGTCTACCTGCGCTCCATGGTGCAGCAACTGGCGGAGCGGCAGCACACGCAGGCGCTGGGGGTTTGGGGCGGAAAAAAACCATAACAACTCGGGGAAAAACCAAGAAAAATGGTGATTTATAGGGGGATTCATGGATATTTTTCTAGATGTATAGGAAATTTATAGTTCTATTAGTTCTAGTCGCTATAGCTAGATGATCTATTTCGAACGATTTCTAGTGATTCCCAGGAGAGCCTCCAGCAGCTCCGCGCCAAGAACGACCTGGGCCACTCCACCTGTGGCCGCCAGCGGCGATTTATGGCCGAGAAGCGCAGGTCCGGTGAATCTGGTGGTTCCACGACCCGGGAATCCTATGGAAATGCTGGGTTTTTATGGGAAATCTTGGGCTTTTATGGAATCATGTTTTTTTTCCATGGGTTTTTGGTATGTTTTTTATGATAAAATGAGAGATAACTGGACTTGAGTAGATCCCAAATTTATCCGTTTTGAATCTGTTTTAGTGATAAATTTATTCTGAGATAACATATCTATAAATTTGAATTTTCCACATGTAACCGAACCAATCCAAATACATCATTTGTCATTATCAGCGCTGAGTAGATATCATACAGAAATGTGGATTGACACCATCTACACACCTGTAGAATAAGCTCCATGTATGGTATACGTACCTACATTTGGGTCAGTTTTTGAATGTTGCATTTTTTGCAAATAAATAACAATATAGTAGGATTCCAAAAATACTAGTCGCAACACAAAGAAGAACTATTATCTATTCGTTTATCTATTTCTTATGTTTATTTGTTGCCAACTAATGATAATCGTAACAAAAATTAGGCAAATCCAATTTTAGCATTGTTAGAATTATCATTGATTAAATTCAATAATTTAGGATTATCATGAATTGGTTAGTTGGCAAAACCATGCAAAACCCATATTCTAGATGGGTTAAATTCCCTAATTTGGATTTATCTACTACCTTGATACAATTAAATTGGATAAGGTAATTGGTAAGGAACTAAACTATTTGGTAACTAAATTTACTTAATTTAGACAATTTGGTATTCTAATTTCCTTCAGATTATAAGCCATTGATGATCTCCAACTGCACCCGCGAGGCCAAGTGGCATGCCCAACCCCTCCAAGGACTGCTTTGGACCTTGCCAAGGGTCCTTGCAAAGGGTAGGGAAAGCCCTGAGATAGGGACGATTCAACCAACAAAAATGACGATTATACCGGTGAAAACGGGGATTTCACCAACAGAAGTGGAGATTTTGCCAGTGAAATTGGGGATTTAACCAGTGAAAATTGGGGTATATAGGTGACTGTTGCTTTACGACTCATATATACAAAAAAATGTATCAATATATACACATATATATATATAGATATGTACATATATATGTATATGTATATATATATATATTTTATTATATTATATTAAATTATATTATATTATATTATATTATATTATATTATATCATATTATATTATATTATATTATATCATATCATATTTTATTATATTATATTATTTTATATTATTTTATATTATATTATATTATATTATATATATTATATATATATATATATTATATATATTTTATTATATAATATAAATATATTATATATATAGCCATAATGTAGTTGGTATTTTAACTAATATCTATATGTCAGATTACAACCTACATTTTATTGACAAGTAATTATTCACCATTATGGTCATACTGTCCTCATTATATCACCAAAAAAATACCCCAATTATGGTTGTAAATCATATTTTATTCCACAATATTTACCACTATTTATCATTGTAGCCCCATTATTTACCACACATAAATATTCACAGAAATTAACTCCCACGCTATTTACATGATATTGTAGATCTACTAAATATTATACAGTAAATAATTGGGTCAATAAAGGGGATAGATACTTGCAGATAAATGAGCAGTAATCAATCAGCAGTAGTTGTTGATAACATGGGATATATAAATAATTACAGATCATCTGCAAAAAAGAATGTTCCCTAAGATTTCAGCAGCTTTTCCCACCGTGTAGGAGGACACTGACCCCTGCTGCTTCGAAGCTACCGCGCTCCGCCGCGCCGACGCGGACGACGCGGATGAAGATGAGAGCCTTCAACGGCAACGGTGGGGGAGACCGAGGAAGGGGCCTTTGGGAGATTTTGGAGGATTTGGAGGTTTTTTGGATACCAGAACATCAGAACATGACCGAGTCAGCAACCAACCGAGTCAGCATCAGGGTTTGAACAGAGAGGGGAAGAGGATTTTGGGAATTTTGGAGGGTTCTTGAGGAGTTTGGATGATTTTGGATGATTTCGGGTGTTTGGTTACGAGACAATCAGGGTTTTAACACCAGAAAGCAGGGGTTTTAAACAGCAAATCGGCCAAGGGCTACCAGCAACCAAGGTTTGATTCCCCAGCGAATGTGGTTTATTCCCTTTTTTTTGATGGATTCCATTCAAATGGGAAATCCACAACCATTGGGATTTTCTACCAGAAATCAAGGATTCAACTACCCTCTGCTAATTTGCCATAGCTACTGACAATTGCCATTTGATAGTTGATTTACGGAACTTGAAAATAGACTGTTACATTACCAGAGGGTAGTCGCCCTCATATGGAGCCATATAAAGGGCCCAGCCCATCCAGCCCATCCCCCAGCAGGTTGGAGTTTTCAAAGGACTTGCCTCGCAGCCTTCGGAAGAGCTTGGCCAAGAGGTGCCGCGGGAGATGTTTTGTCATTTTTTCATGAAGGGAAATGTGGAAACATATCGCCGCCAAGAACATGGAGAGATCATACCGCAACTATTTGAAGTGGCCGAAAAACTTGGAGGGGTGGTTTCTTTTTGCGGCAAATTGGAGATTGAATGGGATACAAAACGGGCATGGTAGCCTACAGAAGTGGTATTGAATCAATAGTGAGTAAGTGTATGTGACTTCTATTTCAAGGAAATGGATTCAAAACCAACAAAATTGAATGCATGTGGAACCTAACAGCGAAGTGCTCCAATTATATACATCCCAATCATGCAGGTGACAACGATCTTCGGCGACCGCCGGGCCGTTTTATCTTTGCCCTTTGTGCCCTGCGCAAAATGGTAGAAACGGCCGAGTTGCTGATGTTATTTTTAGACGTTTTTAAGGGGTCTGGATAGTTGAATCCCGTTAATCAAGGCGATGAATGGGGATGAATTAAAATGATTGAAGCCGCTGATTTTTTTTGCGGTGAACTGGTGTGGGTACCAAGGTGAACTGACCCGGCTATACTATAGGCATATAATCCAAGTTCCAAAGTGTTGTGTTTGGAGAATTGGATGTTGGATATTGGATGTTAAATATTTTTTCATGGTTGTTTTCCCAATTTCTATTGAGAAAATGGGGTGTTGAATGCTCTGCGCCAAATCTGCTGACGGACCTCCTGAGGCTTGGCTCAAAGGGGATAAATCATGGGGATGATGCGGTGCAAGGTTGTGCCCCCCCGGTGATGTTTGTTGGTTTATAAACCATAGTAACTATATGTAACTATAGTTGTAGGTATCATAAACATTCATACACCAGAGTTAACCAAGTTATTGGCACCAACTGAACGCTAATGAACTGGGGCACCACCGAGAGTGGCACTTGTTCGCATTGAAAAATTGATGAGTTTCGCGACACCCTCGAGAGTGAAGATCATACAACGACTGAAAGACAAATGAATCATGGGGGTACCAGAACTGGAAAGAAATTGCCAGTAATTTCCATCGCTATAAACGGGGACGCCTACGTAGGGGCCTTACATTCACTTTCAGTTTGGGATAGTCCAGATACAATGCCAAGAGTACCGTGTGTATTGAGAAATTCAGAACTTCTTGCCTTTTTGGGAGACCCTCCTACTGTATTGAATTGGTGGAATTGGTGTCTCTTTTGAATCACCAAAATAGTCTTACATAGTCTTGGACTTTGTATACACCATTTTGGACAGACACTAGACAGCATCTTGTAATTCAAGGCACGGGTCACGGTTCCATGATTTTGTTCGGGAATGTAGCTATACTTACTAGGGTGATATCCCAAGTTCTGGTAGTTCTATCACTGAGGTATATATATATATCCATGTATATCCCATGTATATCCCATGAATGTGTATCGAATTCACCAGCTACACGGGAAAATGGATGAAAATCCGCGCTGACACGTTGTAACGGCTGCCCGATGGAGTTTCTCGGTGACGGATGTGTGTGATCGTGGGGTTTAAGGGAATGATCAACTGCTTCATTTCTGGATGATTTTCGATTCGGTTTCTTTTGTTGTAACAGACTGGAATAGGGGATTTCCTGTTTTTAAAAAATGGACTGGAGGGAACGACGGAATTGAAACTTTCGATGTTGTCGTTTCAGTGAAATTTCTCATACACTAAAGCTATTCATAGCTATTCATTTGCTTTTTTTGGGCACATTTTCAGCACCCCGGATTCCATCTCCCGGATATCCAAATCATCTGGTTGGTACATGGCTATGGGTCAAAACCAATAACGCGATATTTTAGCGAAATTGAACATTTATTTACAAACGATTGTGGTGTTCACCAGAGCACCAGGCTTTTGACAGCATCCCATATACGCCTGAAGGATCATCCCGCCGTCAGTTAGCAACGTCTGAGTAGCCTTCTTGGTGGTTCAGCCCAGGAATCACAGGATTCTTGTTGGTTGGTTATACAAGCACTTCAAGAAGAGCTTCATCCCGTAAATCGTTAGCGGTTAAGAACATTTAAGAACCATAGTTAGTTCACCAATTCATAGCTGGGTTAACCAACTTATAGAAGGGATTTCCGATCACCGATTCACCAACTTTGCTATGATTAACCTAATAGGACCTATACATCCCCAAGAAATATGCTGGTCAGACCTGCATTTTCATGGTTAAATTACCATTTACCTTCACTGGGGCATTCCAACGTTGATGGTTTTGCCACAATCCGGTTATAGTTCCCATAAAGATCCCACTCTGGCCATATAAATCGCCGTTAAATCCCGCTGGCAAAAAGGACCTGACATCGCAAAAAACATGATGATTCAATAATTCACGAAATTCAATCCCGTTCAATCGCTACCAATCAGTGAAAAATAATTTTAAATCCTAAATCCCACGAAATTTACCATCCGGTTATTTAACATAGCCATGGAAAATGGTCATTTATAGTGAGTTTTCCCATTAAAAATGGCGATTTTCCATAGTTTTTTGTAAACGTTTACCAGAGGGTACACGGTACATATATACCCAATATATACCCAATATTTTTATATAACCAGGTTTCTAGCTGGGAAAATCATCTATAAATGGACCATTTTCCCACTCGTTGCCAAGCGACCGAACTGGGGTCCTTAAGGCGTTTCTTGGGTCTCCTGTGTGCCCTGGGCGCCGCGGTGGCATTCGGACTCCAGTGCGCCCCAGGGACGCGGTGATTTTCACGGGGAAATCCAGGGGAAATCCAAGGGATATGCAGCCCGGTAACCATTTTTAATGGGATTGAACGAGGATTTTATGGTGATTTTATGGGGATTTTATGGTGATTTTAATGGGGATTTATGGGGATTTATGGGGATTTTATGGTGATTTTAATGGGATTTAACAGTTCGCTATTGAACAATGGCCATAGAAATAGTGGATTTTCCCAGTTATAAAATGGTGGATCTTTCCATCGTTTTTTGTATGTTTACCAGAGGGTACCTCCACGGGTACCCAGGTTTGTTGTGAAGATTTCTAGGTGATCGTCCCATCAATGGAGCCAATGGAACCAACTCATCAGTTTCAGTGGAAACATCCTATGTTGATCACGTGCCGCCTATTTCGTTATCAACAACAAGGGATGTTATCAAGAATAGTCATTGAGTCATTGAAGTTACCAGTAAATCCTTTGTCCCCCAAAAAACCCATTTGTGATTTTACAACATCACGTCCCCCACGTTTCCTCCATGGCACAACTCCCATTTTGAATAGATTCAGCTGCAGCTTTCTTCACCGGCGTCGCCAGGTACGTCCCGGTGAAGAAGTACGAGATCTTCGATGGCGTCACCTTTCAGTGGTTCATGTGTGGTGGCATCCTCATGGTGCGGCCCCAGTGACGGTTGGCGACCGGGCTAGGAAGTCCCCTTTGTGAGGAAAGTGAGGGTGTCCAAGATTGATATGAATGGACTTGAATGGACATCATACATATATATATATACATATATATATACATATATATATACATATATATATATATATATACATATATGTATATATAATATACATATGTATTTATGTATGTATGTATATATATATATATGGGTGGATTACCACTACTTGGGGGCGCAGTTCCACTAATTTAAGCGTGGATACATCACCTCAGTTTTTTTGGGGGCTTATATCAACTGCATCCCAACTTGTGGGGGATAGAATTCCACAAAAAACCATTTAGAAGCCCAAGTGCATCCCCATAAAGTAGCCATTTGATGTTCCTTTCAAACGCTTGGATAGATCATAGATCCCCAATTTCTGTGGGCTAAAGTCTCCGCCGTCTCCACCGTTTGGAGCTGGACTGCTTCCCAGCCCTTTTTAAAAGCCATGGCTAGGGTTGGGATCATCGGGAAAATAACAAGGCTATACTTCTTGAGTTGGAAGGGAACATCTGCAGGAAAGCATAGGAAATCCAGATACTTCATGGATCTTCATGGTTTTTGATTTTTGCAACAGAACCAATCCATTGATTTTGGCCGCTGTTGCGGGTCAACTTTTCGCTGTGCATGTCAAGCTTCTCTCAAGACAGGTGTGATACGAAGGCATTTGCACTTCGCAATTTAAAATTGCGCAGCAGCTTGAAACTTTGGCCAGGCAAATTGATAGCGGAAACATAATCTCTGCATGTGGCACAAATGAAAGTCACTGATATCCAACGTAAGAGTTGCATCTGGGAATTGTTGTAGACTGCAGCTAATTCGTTCCGCTGGACAGTGCAAAGCAAAGGATTCGCTGCCTCATGTCGGTTTCTGTGGACGTTCCTGGAACTGGTCACTTCGACATTCCATTGACTGCTTCGAGCACCGCTGCTAACATTATTTTGCTGCTCCGCGAGCGGTTGCCAGACGGTCCATGGCATGGCAACAAGTTGCTGTCTAGTGGGGTCTGCCAGCTGCAGTGCGAAGACGTTGTGGAGGTAGCCCACCACAGCACTCTGGTCTTGACAAACTACTCAGAGATCACCAACCAGGAGACAAACGTTCACATAGAATATCTCAAGTCCTCAGTAGCCAGCGGAAAAACATAATGCAGACAGATGCAGAAACTAAAGGCCAACAAGCACCAACAAATACTGTGGTCGATTCATCCAATTTGAGGCTTTAACAATTTGAGGCTTTAGGATCCTCCAACAAAGGGACGAAACGGCCATTGTGTGCCCGTTGGTCACCATTTGAATTGATCACAAGCCCCTACCAGAGCCGTAGTCCAGTGATATGGCGCAGTCATTTCTGGAGACTTTGGACTAATAGCCTAATGCTTTCACCTTTTCGTGCGCAGTGTAATGCTTTTCGAACTCCACTCTCTTCAATGTTCAGCCGTTGGGGAGCCGGTTGCAAATCTCCCATGTCATTTGCTGCGTGTGTTGGTTGCTCCACACGCTTGGAAGGAGGTTTTCTGCATCAAAGATACTGCAGAGCGAGGGGTCACTCGCGAGCAATTGGCAAAAATTGTGGCTTTCATCTCCAAGATGGCTGACAGATGGTGCGAAACGTACGGAGAACAGCGTGGGACAAGGCTGCAGTTTGAGATGTTCAACTTGTATCATGCGAATCATTGGATCATCAAACCAGCCACCGAAGCCTGGCTTTGCTGATGGTTTGACAGGAACAAATGCCCATGGGTTAACCCACCATTTGGATCCATTTGAGGAATCTATTGGGAATATGTTTATTGCTGTTGTTATTACTAGTGTTATTATCAGTAGTACCGCGCAAGGCGGTGGCGGAAGTTTCAAAAATAGGAAACCTATAGGAGAAATTGGTTGTTGTGAATCAGGGATGGCAGAGCGAAGCCACTGATGGACTGAAAGGTGTTTGATCTCTCTCAC